AAAATGGAGGTAGAGATTGGAAGTTATGTTGCCACACCCCAAGGAAGACCTAGGGTTTCCAGATGCTGAAAAAGACAAGTGTTTTCCCCTAGAGCCTTTGGAGAGGGCATGGCTCTACCAAACTTTGATTTCAGACTTCTAACTTCCAGAACTGTGAGAGAATAAAATTATGTTGTGTCAGGCACTTAGTTTTTGATACTTAATTATGGTAGCCCTAGGAAATTAATGTAGGTGAGCTTATATTCCTTGCAACCAAAAATTTTAGCACCTGCCTGGCAAACATGAGGCCCTGAGTTCAAACTCCAGTACTGCAAAAACAAACAAAAAAACATGACTAAGATGCATCTGGAGTGATAAGTCTCAGTGATTCTCCAAATGTGGTCCATAGCCCAGAGGTGTTCGCCAAGGATCCTTCTGACGAGACATTAAATGATACAAATGCTCACGCCATTCCTTTGGTTATCATGGGAACATTACCTTGCAAATTTGTAAGTTTTTATTTTTTGCATACAATGAGGAATTCACCAAGCAAGATATTGGGGGCTGCTGATGTTTAGAATTCATAACTTAAAATGAGCACGCTATTACTACTACCAGGTTTATCGAGAATGACGTTTCATCACTTGTTTGTTTAACATTTTAATACTCCTGCTAATGTACATTGAAGATATTTAAATCCTACTTTTGGAAGAATAATATTAACAGTGCCACTCCCCAGAAGGTCATGGTTTTAAGAGCTGTTATTCCTGATTCTTCACTTTTTATGGGTTTTTTTTTTACATAGTATCTACTTATTTGTTTACTATTTATTGTTGGGGGTACTGGGCTTTGAACTCAGGGCTTTGCTCTTGGGTAGACTAACACTCTACCACTTGAGCCACATTCCCCAGGATGATTCTTATTTATTAACTACCTTTGGTTGGTTTCCTCAATATCCAGTAAGTTTTTTGAAAATTTTATAAAGCAGCATCTTTTTAAATCAAATTGTATGGATGAGATCATATTCCTCTCTTTAAAAAAAGAACAGACCCAGGTGTAATGACACGTCTCTAATCTCAGCACTTGGGAGGTTGAGGCAGGAGGATCAAGACTTTGAGGTCAGCCTGAGCCACCTAGTGATTTTGAGGCCAGTTGAGCTACAGAGTAAGACCCTGCCTCACAAAACAAAAAACAAGTAGCCAGGTGCTGGTGGCTCACACCTGTAATCCTAGCTAGCCCAGGCAAAAAAAAAAAAAATTTCATGAGACCCCAATGCAATGGGAAGAAAGTTGGGCATGGTCCATAAAATAGGAGAACTGTGGTTCAGGCCATCTTGGCAAAAGTGAGACTCCATCTCCAAAATGACTAAAGCAAAAAAGGGCTGGAGGTGTGGCTCAAATGGCAGAGCACCTGCCTAACAAGTGTGAAGCCCTGAGCTCAAGCCCAAGCATCAAAAAACAAAGTAAATGGACAATTGCCACTGTTCCTCTTCAGCTCTCCCTTGTTGCTGAGTTCTTTTCCCTACTAAACAGAGGAGTGGCTGGATGAATGTTTTGTGGGACAATGGGTCTTTTGCTTCCTCACAAATATGTGAGTCAATTGCCTGTATTTCATGTTTAGGATTTTCAATCATAACAAGGTTTTCCATCAATAAAAAAAATCAGTCAAAGCTGTCAGACATGATGTTGATCATTTTGTAAAGGTCCAAAGCTGCAAGAATTATGTTTCTGTTTTGTTTTGTTTTGAGGTACTGGAGTTTGAGCTCAGAGTCTTGAATTCAGTGCCTGTGCTTGCCAGGCAGGTTCTCTACCAATTGAACCACACCCTGAGCCCTTTTAGCTTGAGCTATTCTTCCAATAGGGTCTTATTGCCTGGCTGGCCTGGATCACAATCACTCTATGTATGTTTCCCCATAGCTGGGATGGTAAGTACACCACCCAGCTTTTATTGATTGAGATGGGGTCTTGCTAACTTTTTGCTAAGCTGGCCTGCAATCCTCCTGATCTCCACCTCCCAAGTAGCTAGGATTACAGGTGCAAGCCACCTTCCCAGGTTGCAAGAATTATACTTGAACATGGAATACAGACCCATCCAAATGCCTAGAGATGTTCATATCATCATCTGTCTCTTGACACAGTAGATTAAAAAAGGAAGAAGTATCAAAACAAGATTATAAAATTGATGTATATTTTATATGCTTATACATTGTGCATATTGACAAAATACAACATAATACAATGATACCATTCACAAGAAAATTATAGAATTTACTTAAACCATTGATGTATTTCAATACTTACATAGTGTAGTCCAGCAATGAGACACATTTAAAGTTGTCTAATATTCATGTCTTAGGGTGGATTCCCAGAAGTGAAATTTGGGGTGAACATTCAGGTACAGAAGATTTATTAAACAAGGGCCTCCGTAAAAAAACAGTAAAGGAGTGAGGAAGAGGTTCAGGGAATGGGAAGAGGTCAAGCAAGAGTGTGGTTTCTGGAGAAATGCTGGTCTCAGCCTGATCCCACAAAAAACTCTGAAGGATAATCAGCACAGAGGCAAAGGTACTGAGCTTTCATACTCTTGCACTAGTTACAGTGGGAAGAACAAAGAGTAAGTTACAGATACCTCTGCTTCTTGGTGACAGAAAAAAAACCATAGCCTGAGTCTGTCATCCAAATGAGCAGTGACAATGCAGGGAGTCAGAAGCAAAACCATACAGAAATGGTTTAAGGGACCCAATGGGGTACTGGGCTACAACATCCTTGTGGGCCACCCTTCTGTATTGTCAGAGTGTCTCTGGAAACATCAACCATCATTTACATTTCAGAGCCTTTGTGAATGTGGGATCTCATGTCATTCATCCAACTGTCCTCTCCTAGTCCTAGCATGATGGGACCTATGACTACCAAGACAACCCTGCCAGTGCCTCCGTCCTATACACACTCCATCTGCCTTTCCAGATATTCTCTCTAGTCTTTCATACTCCTCTGTGGCCCCTGGAGTCTGTCTCAGGACTGCGTCAAGGAGCTCCCTTACTCTGTGTCAAATTACTTGAGCCAGTGGAAGATCCCAGAAGAAGATCAGAGAGAGAGAGCAGGGGAAAATCGGGCTATTAATCCACCTAGCCACCTCTCTGTTGGGTCACTAGGGCCTGTTGCATCCTGCCAACAGAGGACACAGCTCCTAAAAGACAACCCTTGCACAAAACTCTTTTTCCAGATCCCTCCCCTCTCCCTTCCCTTAGGCCCCCAAAGCACTGCTTTTCCCTTGTGGCTTCCCTATACTCTGCCTATACCTTAAATTATCCCTTTGTTAAACTCTCCTCAAATTACCTAATTTGAGTGAGCCATCTGTTGCCTGACAGCACCCTGCTACATCCTACAAACGGTAAATTTTCCAAATCCTAAACACCAGACACATATTGTCAGTTGTCACAAAGCAATAGTCATTTATTTTTTAAAAAAAGTAATTTACAGGTATTTATAGGCAAATCTTTCCACTTTAAAACACATGAAGATAAGAATATGAGATTAAAACGGCATGCAGACAGTTCCTTTTTTTGTTTTGTTTTGAACTGTGCCTGTGGTATTTGTAAGTGCAGTAATTGCTTACCTAACTACTATACCATTACAGTCAAACACTGATTATCCATGTGTGCCACCTGTACCATTAATGCACTCTGCATCAATTTGTATCAGGAACTCCTTTCTACCTCGTCAATGTTCTGCTTAGCCAGCCCGAGACCACAGCCCTGCATTGTCTCTGATAAAGGTGGTTAGATTATGCACAAGTTTCTTTTTTTTTCATAAGAAGAAAAAATGGCCAAGAACTAAGATGCATGGACAAACTGATGAAAATACAGTATTTCCTAGCTGTACACAAGGAAACAAGTCTGAGAAATCATTGGCAGCAGAAAAAAAATCAGAAGGCTTTACATCATTAGAGTTCAATGTATTTGGTTTCTGATGGTCTCTATTCAAAATAAATTTTCAGTATTTCATGTAAAACTTCCCAAATATATCATAACCACAAAGATTAAGTTTGTTCTACTTAGTCAAATGAAATGGAGTTAAAATGATTGTAGAAACACACCCACAATCATGGCCATATCTTTATATGCAAAGGCAAGTAAAGGTACTGAAGCACTTTTCTATTACTTTAAACAAAACAAATCCACGTCATTACCTACATTACATTTAATTAAATTTTCATTGTTTTATACTGAAAGGCTTGAGGTCTGAACTATATGAATGTTGATCTAATTATCCTTAGGGTTTAGATATGGACTACAAAGGGGGAAAAACCTGAAATTTTAAACTTAACTATACAGACTGCTTATCAATGTTGACCTTTAATGGAGGCAAACTTGATTTTTATAGACTCAGATTATGTGGGTCTCTGAACTCACCTACCCAACTCCCTCATTTTAAAGACAAGAAAACTGGGATCTAGACAGGTTTAGACTTGCTCAAAGCCATGGTACTTTTCTTTACACAATGTTTGGTTACATTATCAGCTTACCAGTTGATTTACAGGAGGCAGACCTCTCCAACTATTTTGTTCAATATGTTTTCTATCTTCTGCAGTTTGTCTGATCATATGTAAAAAAGATGCTAGGACACACATAGGTATAAGATTATGACTCAGTGGCAGCCAATCAAAATAAAACTTCCCTGTAACTTTCCAATAAATTCTGTACTTTCAATAAGAATAGAACCAATTTGGATACTGATTATGAAAAACACCAGTTTGGCATCTTTGAAATTCATGCATTCATGAGTTTTTTTTTTTTTTTGGCATGATGAGCAGGAGAATACAATAAATCAGAAATGACTGCCCTATTTGGCCTCTTCAGTTTGTCACATGCTGTATACGAACAGCCCAAATAGCAAAGATTGAGAAATATTAGGCCAAAGAATTTGGACCTCCAACCATTTAACCAGCAAGTGGAGCAGACCAATGAAAGAGACTAATGCTTTTCAGTGGCTTTTGAATTGATTCCACTGGCATAGACACAGTCTGAATTCTGTGTTGTATTTATTTTAACACTGCAGTGAAAAATGCTACTAAACAGAAACTGTAATAAAGTCAATAACTACCAGGCAAATTGCTTTGCTTCTTATTTTTTTAACAGGAAAAAACTCTTTTTTGGCAATGGTTTTATGGTTACAGAACATCAAGATACTTGGACTAATCTCCCCCATATGAAAATGTCCCCAAATTATCAAGTTGAAAGGCACATACCACTGCCCGAGCAGTTGTCTTTAGCATGTGAGATTTTAATTGTGCTTTTAGTTTGTTATCAATGCAGTATGACATTAAAAAGTGACATCCGTGCATGTGTATAATTTCTTTTCAAATAGATCAATCCTCTTTCTCTTTTCTGAATTTTCATTTTCTGAAGATGTTTCACTAGTTCTTTGTTTTATAAAAGACCTGGTCCAGGATGGTTTCAGAAAGATGCACTTCACAGTTTGTGCTCTATTTTGCCTAGAGACAAAGTCTGAATTATCTTTTTGTCCTAACATAAACAGGAGTTTCTTGAAAAATCACTGTGACGGTGCTTCAATGTTGTCATTTCTTGGAATGCAAAAGTCCTGTGTTATCTTTTCTCACTGGTTGTTTAAGACTTACTTCACTTCCAGAAGAGACAATTGGCAAACTATTATCCATATGGTACCTGATAAGGTGGCCGACACTATCAAACACGTGATCCTTGGTCCTCACCTTGGAAAGGAAGTACAAATATCTGTAGGTTAAATAACAGTAGTTCTCCTGAAAAACTACACACAATCAGGGGACAAAACAAAACAGATGTAACCCTAAAATGGTAAACCTTCTGTTGAGTAAGGAAAAATAAAGTACTTTTCAACTCTGTATTTCCTTTTTTTCTTTTTCCTTTGTAGGACCGGAGTTTGAACTCAGGGTTTTGTGCTTACATACTGGGCACTCTCCCACTTGAGTCACACATCCAGTCCAGTTTATTATTTCTTAATAAACAATTTCTCATCTCTCATTACATTTTTTACAGCAATTATCCTTCAGGTTAAGAAAATGGTACACATTTGACACTCAGTCCAAATTTGCCACTAGCCTCTTAGTGATGTTACTGCTTATTACATTTGATCATGTCACTATTTCTAAATATTTAGCTGGTTTGTGTACAGGCATGAATCCCAGGATTGCAGTTATCTTCCATCAAGCAGAATGCTTCCATATTACCCTGACTTTATAGAAAGAAGGCCCCTTGGAGAAATCCTACTTCTCTTTGGAATCTCAATATGAATCCTATCTCCTCCCAAAAGTCTCCTCAGACCTTTCTAATAGGCATTCATGTCTCCTTCCCACAGACTTCATAAATAGTAACTGATCCATAAATATTTGTTGTACCGAATTTACTGTCTGTATGCCAAAAGAGCTCAACTTTGCTATGCAAAGACTCCATCTGTGGAATAGACTCCCACTATTATCATATTCTCACCCTTTGCATGGACAGAAGGCATACATTACCATCTACTGTGGGTCCACTGGCTTGGCAACCTAATCGCCCATGTGCTCACATTTTGAGGGTATCTGGAAACTACCTACAAGAGGGAAGGCATGCAGCCAGGGAGTACCTGGCTATGTAATTCTGTTAGCTCGCTTACAAGGGATTCTTTGAGTTCTGCCTAGATATGGGCTTTGGCATATTAATATACACATACTTATTGGAATAATTAATAGAATTTGAATATGGGCTATAAATTAGATAATTATATTGTGTAAATATTAAATTTCCTGGGTTTGATTACTGTATAGAGTTATGAAAGAGAATATCCCTAGTCTTAGAAAATACACATTTAAGGATTCAGATGAAAAGGTACAATAGCTTCAACTTACTCTCAGATGACTCCACACCTACACCAATCTTGCCAGGCTATGTTCTTAATTCTAATTCGTTCTGTCTCCCTCTCTACTTCTCTTGCCACCATTCTGGTTCAGGTTTCACTGCTTTTTATCTAGAAGCCTCTAATTACTTTCTCTGTCCCTGGTCCTCCTCCCCACTCTTAATCAATCCTGTATGTAAATGTCAAATAATCTTCCTAGTGCAAAGACTGTAAACTGGCTACTCTGGTCAAATACACCAGATGTTACTGTTTCCTAGGAGTTAGGATAAGGTGGGGAGTCATCCACAGAGTTTTTTAAGAATTTGGATTTGAAAATGGGGGTAGTTCATATAAAACTCTGGTTTTGTGACTTATTTGGAAAAATCAAATCTGGCCCCAGTGGGCCCTTACTCTGCATGGTAGCAACTCATTGGAGTTGAGTGGTGACTGTCCTTATGCAAGATAAGAGTGTCTGAGTTCATCAGAGCCTACCACACACTATGCTGGATCTATCATCTTCCCACTTTCATTCATTCATAGTACTGGCCAGCCTTAAAGATGTTAACATCTGTAACCCTACCCACATTGGCTTTTTAAAATTGTGATTTAAAACAACACGAGATCTACCATGGAAATAGATTTTAAGTTCAACACTGTTAACTATAAGCACTATGTAGCACAACAGATCTCTGGAATTTTCTCTAGTGTGACTGAAACTGCATCCATTGTACAGCACCTCCTCACTCTTCTCTCTCCCAGGCCTTGGCAACCACCATCCTACTTTGTTTCCATGAACTTGCCTACTTCGCATACCTCTTGTAAAGTGTAATATGAAGTATTTGTCCTGAGACTGACTTATTTTTTACCTAACATAGGCTCTTAACATCCTTGAGAACACTGTAGCATATGACAGGATTTCCTTCTTATTTGATTGGATAGTATTCCATTGTACAGATATATCGTATTTTTTATCCATTCATCTGTTGATGAACTTTTAAGTTGTTACCACCTCTTAGCTACTGGGAATAAATTACTGTCTTTGACTTTGATTTTATGTATCTTGGTGCAAATTTGAGTTCTTCATAGTTGGAGTCTATTCAGTTTCTTCAATCCAATGTCTATTTCCTTCCCCAAATTTGGGAAGTTTTCAGCCATTATTTCTTTAAATCAGCTTTTCCTCCCTCCCTCTCTCCCCCTCCTTCATCTTCCCGCACCCCGCCTCCAACTTCAGATTCCCATAATGTATACAACTGGTCTGCTTAATACTGTCTTATAAGTCTCCTAAGCTTTCTTTACTCTTTTTTGTTGTTGTTCCTTTGTCTGGACAAACTTATGTTGTTTTGTTTTGATTTTTTGGTGGGATTGGTGTTTCAACTCAGGGCTTCAGGCTTGCAAAGCAGACACTCTACCATTTGAGCCACATCACCAGTCCATTTTGCTCTGGTTATTTTAGAGACAGGGTCTCAAAAACTGTTTGTCTGGGCTGGCCTTGAATCATGATCCTCCATATCTCAGCCTCCAGGTAACTAAGATTACAGAAGTGAGCCACTGGTGCCAGGCTCAACTTGTTTTCAAGTTCACTGATTCTTTCTATTTGATCAAGCGTGTTGATGAACAATTCTAAGGAAATTTTCAGTTCAGTTACTGCATTCTTCAGCTACAAAATTTCTGTTCAGTTCCTTTTCATATTTTCTCTCTTTGGTTGTTTTTTTTCATGGATTATACATCATCTTTGTGATGGTTATTTTGAATTCTTCGTGAGTTAATTCATATACTTCTGCATCTTTAGGATCAGTTTCTGGAAATTTATCTTGTTCCTCTGTTTGGGTCATGTTTCCCTACCTCTTTGTGTGTCTCATAATTTTATGTTGGAATCCACATATTTGAAACACAGTCACTTCTCTTAGTCCTTTTAGACTGGCTTTATATATGGGAATATTCTCACCAACCAGCCCAACTAGTGATTCTGGGAACCTCTGAAACCTTTTGCAGGAGGAATGTGACTTTTCAGGGTCTGTGTGTCAATTTCTCAATTAAAGAGGCTTGCAATTTCCCAAGAGTTTATAATTCTTGTTTTTTTTTTTTTTGGCAGTACTGGGGCTTGAACTTGGGGCCTCACACTTGCTAGGCTTGTTAGGCAGTGCTCTATCACTTGAGCCACTCCACCAGCCCTCCCTCTGGTATCTTTCTGTGGCACTGCAAGTTCTTTGACTTTATACAAGGAGACCATTTCACTCTGTTTTTGGTGGCCACTGGACATCCCAGCTATGCTGGCTTACCATCAGATCCCTGAGTCAGGTAACACACATGCCAGGCCACTAGGCAGCCCTCTAAAACCTAGAATGCTGGCTGTACACCACATTCCTCTCCCTTCTGGTGGAGAAGCCTTGAGTTGTGCACCATCCCCTGCTTACACAGAGGAATGCCAGATGTAGCAAGCTACCTTGTGTTTTTCCATGTTTTCAGCAGCCCTCACACATCCAAATTATGCTGATTCCATCAGCACTCCATGTGAGGTAAGGCAAAAAAACAGTACCCCAGGCAATCCTCTCAAATTCTAGAACTACTTGGGAGGCAGAGATAGGAGGATCACAGTTTGAGGGCAGCCTGGGCAAAAGTCAGTGAGGCCCTATCTCAAAAACAATCCAGGCATGGTGGTATGGTACATGCCTATAATCCAATCTACTCAGGAGGTGAAGTAGAAAGATCACAGTCTGAGGCTGGCCCCCCCAAAAAAAGTACAAGACCCTATATTAAAACAAACATAACTTCTGGGGGCATGGCTTAAGTGGCACAGTGCTTGCCTAGCAAGCATAAATCCCTGAGTTCAATCATCAGTACTACCAAAAAAACCAAAACAAAACACTGGATACCTGCCTCACCCTCTTTTGCCCTCAAGGGAGAAGCCATGAACCAAAGGATTCTCTGCTGGATTGAGCTATGCTGACTTGGGAAAGGAGCTGCTAGAAGTAAAGTGAAATTGGTCTCTTCACCAACTACAGCATGATGGTTCACCTGGGGTGCTACAACTTCCTCACTGGATTCTGGAATTCACATAAAGGTATTATGGTCCATTCTGAGTTTTAAAATCTGTGCTTCTGTTGAGGACTTCCTCTTATGTCATGTGCTGGTGTCACCACTCACACAGCTTTGACTGCATCATTCCCCTCCTCCAAAACTGCCCATGCCTCCCTACTGTTTGGCAAATCTGTCATTTTGGTCTGTAGTCTCACCCCATGTGATGGTTTCAGCCAACCACTCTAGGTGCATTATCTGCCTGCAGGCGTTCGCTGTTCCAGCCAACCTCTTTTAATGGCTTGACACCATTCTATTACTCCATCTGCTCCTGTTGCTCCTATATTCTAATTTCCCTTTTGTGTTTTTTTGTTGTTGTTGTTTTTTGCTTTGAGTGTGTATATGTGCATGGGTTGGTACTAGGTTTGAACTCAAACTCTTGCACTTGCTAGATTCTCCTTTGAAATTCCTCTCTTCCAAGGGTTACATTCCATGTTAGGCCCTACACAAGTTGACCTAACAAGAATTATCTTTATACCCTGAAAAACACTAGAATGCTTTGGTTGAACTGTCCTTATTTCATTCAGCTTTACATTATAATTATTTAAGTACCTGTTTTATGAAGTTATAAGCATCCAGAAAATAAGAATTAATACTTAAGTGATATTAACAAGAGTCTTTAGTGAGTCTCTGTATTTCCATGTCAAAAGTATTCACTTAATTCACTGAATTGAGAAGACAGGCTGTCCTCTACTTGATGCTCCAGCACGGTCTCCTTACCCTAACCTTTCTAGTCACCTATATTTAGCACTTGCAGCTGTAGCTGGAAGGTTTTTTTTTTTTTTCTAGCTGGAAGGTTTAAGAGAAAATGAACACTTAACCTTGGACACTATTGAATACCAGGTTTTGAATATCACTCAGAGTATCTTTAATAGAACAGCCTATGAAATGTATGATAAGAACTCAATGATACCTTGCCTTCAGGATCCACCAGAAGAAGATGTTTTGCCTGGCCTCCCTGTAGTCCACTCAGTACATATTGGCCAGGGGAGGTTGTACTCTCCCGAACCAAAAAGTCCCCATCCTTTACCAAAAGGCTCTCTGCGGCCTTCCTACTCAGCTTGCCATGGTAGCATTCCTCATTCCACAGCTGCTGCTTAATGTGTGGCAAAGAATGTGAGCTGGCAGGCTGGGCTGTGGCACCTGGCTGAACAGTTTCTGGTGCCTCTGAAGAGAGAACAAAAAGAGAGACATCACCAAGTTACCTCCTCGTCCATCTGTTCACTCAGCAAATGCAACCTGAGGTCCTGCTGTACTACAGCCACTTTAAATAACATTGCTTACTAAGGCCAATAGGAGAAGGGGACCAGGAACTAGAGAAAAGGTTAGATCAAAAAGATCTAACGCACAGGAAATCAATGTGAGTCAACTCCCTGTATAGCTATCCTTATCTCAACCAGCAAAAACCCTTGTTCCTTCCTATTATTGCTTATACTCTCTCTACAACAAAATTAGAAATAAGGGCAAAATAGTTTCTGCTGGGTATTGAGGGGGGTGGAGAGGGAGGGGCGGAGTGGGTGGTAAGGAGGGGGTGGGGCAGGGGGAGAAATGAACCAAGCCTTGTATGCACATATGAATAATAAAAGAAAAAGGAAAAAAAAATTAACCTAGAAGGTAACACACATGCACAGGAAATTAATGTGAGTCAACTCCCTGTATAGCTATCCTTATCTCAACTAGCAAAAACCCTTGTTCCTTCCTATTATTGCTTATACTCTCTCTTTAACAAAATTAGAGATAAGGGCAAAATAGTTTCTGCTGGGTATCGAGGGGGTGGCAAGGAGAGGGAGGGGGTGGGGTGGGAGGTAAGGGAGGGGGTGGGGGCAGGGGGGAGAAATGACCCAAGCCTTGTATGCACATATGAATAATAAAAAATAAATAAAATAAAAAGCACTTATCTTAAAATAAATAAATAAATAAATAACATTGCTTCAGGAACAAATGAAAGTTTTGTTTTCAACAGGCTCTAATTTAAAGGTAGATCCAAACATTGCCTTTGGCTTCGATTACCAGGAAAGACTTGTCCAGGTGCAAGAGTTTTCCTTTCATATGAGAACTAGAACCAGCCCTTAAGAACCGCTTTTATAATGTAGAGAGAGGCTTTTTATGTTAAAGAGAAAAAGGGTTTATGCTATACCTGGATTACAGAAAACTACAATGTTACTAAATTCTTAAAATAACAACAGACACTTTGCTTATGCCCACTTTTTTGTTTGTTTGTTTATAAAAAGTATTTACTTAATATTGGATTACTCAGATTTTGGTTGTCTACAACAGAACACGGATACATAGAGAATATAAGGGATTGGGTGATTTCGAAGAAGTAAGGAAGCCAGTTTCATTTTGGGAGAACTAGATTATCTCCCACTAGTCCAGTACGGAAGTGGTCTAACTAAAAGTCGGCACCCTTGGGAGAACATGAGGAAGATACAGAGGTCAGGAAGTCATGCGCCTTTGAGACAGTATGCACCGAACTGGACCTGCTAGCTCTGTAACTCACGTTGACTCTCTTCCCACCCAAGTCAGGTCCACGGTGAACGCTGCTTGAGGGCATCATTTTACCACCGTCAAAGTCATTTCTGCAGCTCTAGCTCTAAAAGATTCAGGAACATAGCTGTTTAGCTTTACAGAAGGGAAGCTTAGAAGGAAGCCAGAATAGATATTGAGATAGTCAAATGACTGTGTATTTCAGAGTTATGTCTACTTTTTAACATTTAGCTTTTTTCTTTCCCTGTCTTTACGCTAATTTACAACTTACTAATATACTTCTAGACTTTCCTCTGACCAAAAATTTAAAGCTTTGCTAGGCAGTACAGCACTCCTATTGAATGACATCTTTGTTGTTTATATCATTCCCCTGCATGAACGAAACAGAACTGGTGAGATAAAAGAAGGCAAAACCTCAGTGAGGCATGGCCTAAGGAAGCTTACCAAGGCCCTGAAGGGAGTGAGAGCTTCGTCAATGAGAAGGCACACCAGCTCACACTCCGTACTATTGACACTGGGACTGATAGTAATTGTGTGGTTCCCACTTACTTTAATAGGCACTGCTAAATGCTTTTCATTGTTCATGCTGGCAAAAAAAAAAAAAAGATTCAGGGAAGGTTAAGTGACTTGCTCAGTCACAATACTGATATGTTCTAGATCCAGGATTTGAAAGTAAGTCTGACTCCAAAGCTCAGGATTTAAATCTTTCCATTTTCAAAACTGGTCTAGTCATTCTGCCTCTATGATATCCACAAAGGTCCTCAGGCGGCAGCAAGGCTATCAGGATGGTGCAGGGCATCTCCAGAAGTAACAGCCTAAAATTGTATGTCTGACAAATTTACCAGGAAAATAACCATAGAAACCAGACTTAGTGTTTTTAAATACAAAAGATATTTTGAAAATAAACCACTCTTTATTTTATTAACACAAAGGAGTATTTGCATGTCTTTATGACTCATTTGATGCTGAGCTTTACAACTTGTATATAACCATACCATGAAGTCACTGCTACAGGCAGCCAGTACCCTGTAGACGTAATCCAATTCTCCTGTAATATATTATAGTTTTTTCCTTACTTAGTAACTTCCTTCTGTGTAACACAATTATGATACAGCATTCACAAATATATCTTTAAGAAATATCTTTAGTCTAAAACTAATGACTGGAATAATTCTTCTCTACAAATAATCAAATCTTTCTATGGTTGCCAGAGAAAGCCTGATGAACTATGTCCAGATTGATGAATAATACTTTTAGTTGCATTAGTGCTGCCTCTAATGAGTAGTCGTGTGTGTGTTTGTGGGAGAGACGGTTTGCATGAATGTGAGGTGAAACATTCATGTGTGTATGGGTGGGCGTACACATCTTCATGTATGATGGCTTTTGGTTTATTATGAGATTATGGTGAAGAACTTTTGGACAAGAACAAAACAAAAGAAAAACAGACATTATATCATCTTGAAAAGAGATCATGGGCCAGCCAGAAACATAGACAATGTTTTCCTAACACAGTTTCCCAAATTAGCACAAGGACAAGACACACTGTGCTGGGAGATTCCAACCATCCAAACATTTGCTGAAAATCTAACTGCTACAAGCAGAATACAGGACAGATTTTTTAAAATTTGCTTTAATTTTAAAAGTTCTACATGCTAATTTTTTTAATTCTGGGAAAAAGAAAATTAATCATCTGTGGTCCTATCACTAAATATAACAATGCTTAATTCTGTGGTATATTGTCTGTTATTTTGCTACACTTATGTAAAGTTGACTTGTAGAAAGATAATCATAATCTGAATATATATTTATACAATTTCTATTTAACAATGTTAAATAAATTGCTGATTAGATAGATTTTTCTCAGGAGTAGTGAAGGTTAAGGAAGCAGTGAGGAAGGCTGCACTAGACTTAACCTTGGCTCTGAACACCCCAAAAGTGATACAGATCATGCAAGAAAGAGTCATGTCACAGAGCTCCTGTTAGTAACTGCAGACATTTTGTTCACAGAACTTTACAAAAGCACAGAACTGATATGGATATCCACACCCATATCTATCTGATGAACAAAACCTCCAAAAGGGAAAATACAGCTTAAGAAAACAATTGGGGCTGAGAGTGTAGCTCAGTGATAGAGCACTTGCCTGGCATATACAAGGCCCTGGGTTCCATCAACAGCACCACACAAAAAAATCTAATATGCAAAACCTGTATCAAACAATTGCAAGTAATTCCTACGAGAAAGGAAGGATAAGACATTTAAAGAAGTCAATGTGATCTGTAAAGATGACAGTGATGAATTTTAAAAATGTTTTTCTTTGGCATTACTGGGCTTTGAACTCAGGGTCTCATGCTTGATAGGCAGGTCGGTCTTCTACCAGTTGAGTCACATCCCAGTCCTTTTTTGCTTTAGTTATTTCTCAGATGGGGAGGGGGGGGTCTCACATTTTTTGCCTGGGCTGGCCTCAAACCATGATCCTCCTACCTATGTCTCCCACATAGCTGGAATTCTAGGCAGGTACCATCATGTTGGGCCATGCTTTTTTTGCATGCTTTATTAAAAGCACATTTTAAAAGAATTTTGTATTAATAATTACATTAGCAAAGGACAGGGGAAATTTTGAGATGTCCATCAATTAGGGACTGATTATATAAATTATGATGCATTCATATCATAGAATACTCTGAAACACATGAAAATAATGGAGGAGATCAGGTGCTAATATAGAAATTTAAATCTCTGAAGCTAAAAATTGAAATAAACATATAGAAGAGAGTTTTCAAAACTCATTTATCTTTTAAAGTAGAGATAGTAGGTAGGTAAGTAGTAGTACTTAACCATGCATTGATATTCTAAAAGTAATCATAATGTGAATTACAATTCGTGCCAATTCAAATTGATATTTTTCATATCAATCTGCTATTTTTTTTATTTTGGTGGGACTGGGGTTTGAACCCAGGGCTTTATACCTGCAAAGGAGACACACTACTGCCTGAGTCACATCTCCAGTCCCACTTCTGAATTTTTTTGAAAACAAACTGTCTTAAGAATAAAATATACACAAAAGTCGGGATAGTCATATAACTGAGGACACAACCAGAAGAAGGATATGAACTTTGAGAAGAGTGTCAGGGTTGAGAGAAAATCACCAGTTTCCTGGAGCCTGCCCTCTTCTCCCCACATCATGTTATAATAACTCCGTTTCCTATTGGGGACAACTGTAAATACAGTCAATTCTGGTTATTTACAGCAATTACATTTTATAAAGTTGCCATAAACAGTGAATTAGAGAAAACTAAACCATTACTCCTAAAACAAATAGGTTATATTCCTACAAGCCTCAGGTTACATTTTCATCAATCACATTTTCTTTTCATGTGGGTTTCTGTTTAAAGATACCTTCATTAGTCTGTCTTGTTGATTAACACTAAACTCACAGTCAACAACACTATAATTTATGACTGATTAATTTTATTTAACACACATTTTTCCTCTATAAGGCACATCACAGCCTTCTTGCACTTAGAAACATTAGAGAGCACTTCAGTACAATGCTTGGGGAACATTTTAAACAGTGAAACCACCAACAGATAGCACAAAAATCTGAAAAATTTGTCAGTAAATAGTCACAAAAGGATACTACAACATGAGAAATGAAACAAGAAGGCAGAGCTTTTCCTTGACTGACCTCAGCCAGACACATGTGTATCTATTAGACAACTCAAAGTTCTTGTTGCTGAGTGTATGTCTGCAAATGACCACACATGTACTATGAACATTGATTTTGGAGATTCAGCTAAATTTTAGTGAGTATGCTAATTCTCAAAAATGAAATCTGTGAATACTGAGAATTGACTATATATGGTGTATTAGTATGAAGTGTGAAAATTATACAATAATAATTTATTATATTACTAGTGCATGAAAACTATAAAACAGGAATTTTTTGTATTAAAAAGAAACATACATTTACCTCCATAAAGTGTCTGAAAATTTCAGACACTATTTGGTTATGGTTTTTTTTTTGGTGGCACAGGGGTTTGAACTCAGGGCCTCATGCTTGCTAGGCAGGTGCTCTTATCACTTGAGCCACCATACCAGCCTTCAGACACTATTTGATAGACAAAATGTTGACATCAAATATTAAACCTAGGAGCTGGAGGTGTGGCTCAAGTGATAGAGCACTTGCACTGCAAGTGCGAAAAGTGGGAAGCCCTGAGTTAAAACCCTGATCCCACCCTCTCCCCAAAAAAAAAAAAAAAAGTTAAACCTAAGTGGGAGGTTGAGATAGTACCCAGAGAAAAAGTATTCATAATATAAAGGGAGAATTACATGTCAACTAAGACAGTTATAAAGACAGAACAATTAGTATACAATAATGAATACATGAGTATATAGTCTAACAGAATAGGTGTAATATAGAGCCCCCAAATAATTTCATCTATACAGGAGGAGCCTTGTATAACAGAGAGTGGTATTAGGGAAAAGAAGAGATTATTTTATTTACTCAATAGTGTTTGGAAAACTGACTCACATGGGTAAAACTGTTAGGCCCATCACCTATAAAATATAAGAGATCAGGTGGAATAAATATTATGGAAATGAAATTATAAATCCTATAAAAGAAAATGAAGTTAGAATCTGGATAAAGACAAAATTTAATCCAAAGAGAGTAAGAGACAGTAAAGATAAAAATGGAAATCAATGAAACAGAAAAGAAACAACAGAGAAAATTAAAACTTGGGTACTCAGGCAATAAAGTTAATAAACCTAAAAGAAGACTGAGTCAGTAAAAAGGAAAGAACTACTAATAATAAGAATGACAGCAGGGATATTACTACAGATCCTTCAGGCAATGAAAGGACAATAAAGGATATTCATTAAAAAGGACTCTAATCAAATGGAATCCTACAGAACTTTTGAGGATATTGCCAAAGAAATCATGATGTCTTATGTATGCTTTTTGGCCCCTGAAGCAAACTCCAACTCTCATGCCCACACCAAGGTGACATAGGCTGCAAAAGTTGTAAAGACTCCAAGAAAGGCACATTCTCCAACATCTACTTTGAGTGCATCCATGGATAACAATGGCAGGGATAATCTAGAGGGCACAGCCTGAGCCCGCAGATGATACTGGACAGAAAAAGTCTTCTCCTGAAGCTGAACGTGGATCCCAGGAAGTCGTTTTCCCCATCTCCTAGCAGGATTTGGTAATTGCTGAGGACCAGTAACTCCTGTCCCATGCCGTTGCACTCTTCCCTTTGTGAATGTGAGCTTTTACCATTAAGTTTGGGTGTGGGAGGAGCAGACAGCTTGGTAGATAATAAGGGTCCCCATTCCATCTTGGATGCTGTTATTGTACAGGGTATCTGCAATGTCTCCCTTGGGGACAGGATAAACATGTTCTATGTGGAAAGACAAACACATGGATATATGAGAGGCAGGAAGATGTGGTGTGGCAGAGAGTTGTCTCCAGGTGTCTATCCTCTCTTTCATTAACTACAGAACTCTTAAGTTCTGGGCACCAAGCTAGAGTAACTTTTCTAGTCTCCCTTGGTGGTAGGGATGGCTGTTTGTCTAACTTCTGCCAGTGGCAGGTGAGAAGATGAGGTCTGCCACTTTTGGTCATATCCTTTCAGGGAATGTATATGCATTCCTCTTGCCTTCCTCTCTCCATACCGGCTGAATACAGATGTGATGAAAACCCAAGCAGGCACCTTGGACCAGAGACAGAAGCCAGGTGCCAAGAATAGCAATGCTGCCTTATACTAGTCCTGTACTTCCAATTTTTAAGTCATTTAAGTAAAAGAAACACACTTCAGTCTTTTTACACTACAGTATTTTGAGGGGTTTCTTTGTTATGGCAGTTTAGGCTGAAACTAATAATAAGTAGATATAAAAATTAGATAGCACTAGAACTAAAGAAACCGTTCAACCATGTGCAATGAGAATACTGTGTCATACTTTCCTTGTGTCGGCAGTATGACAGAAAGATATGGGGAGCCCTGAGAGCATATTATGTACACAGATCTGGATTTGGGTTTGTTTGGTTTGAGTTTTTACTTTTGTTTTCAATACTGCACTGATCAGTAAGTTTTTGTCTGGATAAAAGAGGCTAAGTGTGCCTAAAGAGGTCAACAAGGATTTTTAGGGAAGAAGGAAGGAAATAGAGGAACCATTACAGGAAAAATATTAAAGATTCATTTAAGATATTTTATGGAAAAACATATGTGAAGTTACTTCTACTCCATGTCTTCATAAAATGCTCTTAAACCAATATATTTATGCTGTTGAGGCTGGATTTATTTTTTTTACAGGGAGCAATGGCAAGCTGAAATTAACTTCAAGAGGGCAACAAAAAGCCCAGGAGGGCCATGGTACATTAAATCTAATCAGAAACAAAAACTGAAAAGTATCTGTTGCCACTAAAGCAGGAAAAGGAAAAAAAGAGTGAAAGAGAAAGCTGAAATTAGGGAAAGAAAATTTTAGACAAGGCAGTCTTATTTATTTTCAACTATTAATAGGATTGATTTTGCCTTATGGGTTAATTTTGATTCTATATTACTGAATTGTCTATGACAAAAGACAAGGCTTCTTTGCTGGAATTACACATATTTTTAACATTGAATATTTGATTGTAAAGAAACTACAAAGAAAAAAGAAACTGAAGTTGGGAATCAAAGCATATCCCAGGTCACCTAAACTGAGCTCAGTAAGTTTTCCAATATGTTGTGCTTCTGGAAAGTCCATGAAATGGAAGCTGTACACTCTTACAAAAGTTACTTTTAAAACTATCCTTACAACAAACACTACCTTATCCACATAGGATATGTCACATGTCACTGAGCAAGCTTACTGCAGAAATCTGAATTCATTTCATATCCCATCACTCATCTCACAAAATGGCCTTTGCTGTAGACACAGAGATGTGCTGTCCAGATCCCTCCTCTGAGAAGCAACAATTCCATTTGCAGCAGTCAGCCTCCAGCTTACCAGCCCTTCAGGGTCTGCCTCAGAGGCCCATGGGCTTGTCCTCCCTATAGTGCCCCAGATCCAGAATGAGAAACTTGAAGCTATAAAGGGCTATCCATCTGGACCCAATATAGGACAACTCTGACAGCATGGCCAAGACATTATCAGGTCTGTGCTTATAGCTCCAGCTTCCCAATCTTTCTTCCTCCCTTTGCTTTCTGAAATTTTTCCCAATAAACACCCTGCATGTCAAGGGTCGATCTCAATGTGTGCTTCTCAAGACAAATGGGTTGGATTGAGTGCTAAGATTGATCTCATAAAGTTTGAAAAAGATGAACCACTTTCCACCTGGCTGACAGTAAGGACTCTTCTCGTAGTCTAAAGAGCCAAGGTCGTCTGTTGAACCCCATGCGTAACAAAATCTTCTTTTAAATTTAGCCTTGCCACTGCAGCCACACTAGCTGGGGAGAAACTTTCTGGGCCAGTGAAAGAACTTTCTCAGCGTCTGGGTCTCTAGCCTTGGAGCAAACCAAACTGGCCATCAGTCCAATCTTTGAATCCAACAACCTTCAATACTTTATGAAAAGCATCTTTGTTTATTTATTTTTCAGATGTTTGTAGGCTTTGGGCTTATTTTGCTTTTATTTATTTATGTGCCTGTTTATGATTTGCCCCTGGAAGCAATTTGGCAGGAAAATGTTTGTCTTATTGTATTTTACCCACAATACATGGTTGAAAAGAGGAGCCATCTTATTTTACTGCTGTACAGATATCTTATCAAGATGTTTTTAAATGAATAAAATGAATGTCACTAAACAGAACAGAAAGAGCGGCCATTGTTCTTCAAGCAAATAAGCAAATTTGAAATTATCTTCTGGCTTCAACAGCACTTCCTTCAGCAAAACATGCAACAGAACTAAAAATGACAATAAATTCGGGGTTTGAAAGGATTATTCAGAAACAGTGTACCAGAACTGTGTTACACAAAATATTTCCACAAAGTTCTGATCTATAATTAACTATAGTGAGGTGCTAAGGTCAAAAAATAACATTTTTAACTCCTTAAAAATGAAGTCAAGAAAACGATCTTCTTAAAAATGAGAACCAAAAAATAAATACAGAGTTTGTATAGTGAGTTAAATAGTACCCCCCAAAAAAGATACATTCAAATCTGCCTAATCCCTGGTACCTATGAATGTGATCCAATTTGGCAAGAGGGTCTTCGCAGATATAATTAAATTAAAGATCTTGAGGTGAGATAATCTTATGCAATCATCTCACTCAAAATGTAGTAACTGTCATCCTGAAAGAAAGAAGAAATGTGAGACACAGAGACACAGGGAAAGGTGATGTGAAGACTGATTCAGAGATCTGAGGGAAGTGCCTACACGCTACAGAACATTTAGCATTGCCAGCTGCCACCAGAAGCAAGGAGGGAGGGCTAGGACACCTTCTCCTCAAGTATTCCCAGAGGAACCAATCCTGCTAACACCGTGATTTGGAACTTCTAGCTCCATAACTTCAACAGAATAAATTTCTGTTGCCTTAAACACCCAGTTTGTGGTAATTTGTTACCACAGCCTGGAAATCAATACAGACAATGAGTAGGTACTTACTTCCTAGGTGCCATGGGCTCCCCAGTGGCTGAGCTGAGCTTTGATTTCTAGCAGAGCCAAGCGTACTTTGAAGAGCCTGTGTATTAATGTAGCAGGGGTCATCAAAGAGATCCACTCGACACATATGCTTCATTAAAGAGACATCTCGTTGGGACTGCACCCCTCTCTCATGGGAATTACCTGTAGTAATTAATAGTGATCAGTGCATTATATTGTTGCTTTGTAAACAGTAAATAATGTTGGAGTTGAGAATTGATAAGAAGCTGATAGTCATTTCTACCCCAAAGATTGAACACTGACTTTTAAGTTTGATAAGCACCAGTTTTTGATGAAAAGCCACCCTATCTTTGGCCTTCCTTTCCTTCTTTGCCCCATCCCTCAGCTGACCCATTGCTTCAAAAGCAGATAAGAGATAAGCAGGAAGAGCCAAAAGAGAAATGACCACAGAAGGGAAAAGACCAATTGTGTCAGCAAACACCAACAGTCTGCAGCTCAGAGTGGTGGGTGGGCCAGGAATAAGGAAAACATGTATGATATTGAACTCAAAGATCTATTATTAATTAAACTCTTCAAAAATTTCATTACTTAATTCAAAAAAATTCTCATTTCCTGTGCATTAAATTAATTTCAAAATGAATGAATGGATAAAATAAAATTCTTAGGAGAGGGAGTCTGACCTCTCTCTATTCCCAAAACTTTTTCTTGCCATGCTCAGCCTTGTACTGATTGCTGTTACTTCCCCTCCTCTGCTCTTAACCCATTCATTCTATTCTATACACTGTGGCCAAAAGATCCTTTAAAACTGCAAACCTGATCAAATTTTTCTGAGATTTAAAAACCTTTCAATTGCTTCCCATAGTCTTTTACAAGCTGAAAGCCTTGCTCTATCTACCAGATTCATTCCTCTTTCTCCTCCCCAGTCTCTGCCAGGAGTCACGCTGGCCTTCCTGTAGTATGATCTCCACAGTCAGGGCTGTCTCCTCTGATTAACATGCTTCTCCTTCTCCATCAACCCTCACCTTTCTGATGTTAATTTAAACATCTCTTTTTTAGGACTGCCTTCCTTAAGCCTCTAGGATAAACTAGGTCTCTGCTTTCCTAGCTGTCTGTACTTAACTTTTGAAGGTCATTCCATATTCATTTCTACTATATGTTTAAGGTCTGTGCTGAATCTAGACTGCATGTTCCATGAAAGCAAGGATAATGTTTGCTTTGTGGACAGCTGCAACCCTGCATGTCCCTGGTATATAACAGTTACGGAATGCATGGATATTAGCACAGTATTTCACCACCTGGCGGCAAGAAGTACTCTGCAACACACAGATGATTCTGTCCTAAGAATGCCAAGATAAAATAATTTTCTTTTCTGGTTACAGAACGTTCATAGTTTTAGCTTTATGTGATACAGGATCACTATGAAGTTATACCTAAAGTAAAAACACTGCATTGCCTTACCAGAAAATATTAGTCCTTTTATTGCTTCAGTCATTAAACCCCTTTGCTGTAGTCCAAAAAGACCAAGCTCATGCTGGATTTCACATTGTGGTCAATAGTGCTATGATTCTTGCAACTCACAGTATGGGAACTTAGGAGAATACCAAGTTAGAAAAGCCCAGTTCACAGACTACAGGCTTACTACCTGCTCCTCCTTTACTCCTTTTCTACCTGTCACTGTTACATGGCATTTTGTCATGTGTCATTCTTCATATGTAGGCTAGCCTGAGGGAAGAGGGCATTCCTGGGAGGGGAGGGGTTGTCAGGGTACCACATTTATTTGTGCATTTTGTGAGATATGACAGTGTCCTTTGCTTGGTTAGGTGGATTTATGAGTTATATTGTCTACTTAACAAAGGTTATTTTTACAAATGGAAAGTAACTAAAAGATCACTGCAAAGAAATCAAGGGTTGAAGATAAGTTTTTTCCTCTTAGTACAAATTCCTCCTTACCAGTGTTAATGAGCTTATAAATAATGACCTAATGAGATTAGAACTTTGCCCACTGAAATTACAACTATCAAGATCTGAAATTAAGTCTTACATCTATTTTCTTTAACAGTAAATACTTTAAATGTACATTGGGCCTTGAGATATTTTCTAATCCAGTGTTGTGACTAGTAAGGCTTTAAAAAAAAGTTTATCATCACTCTACTTTAAAATTTTTCTATATTTGTGTACTTTATAATACCTTGCAATATATTAATATACACAACTTATGTATGCTTGAAAAACCATTTATTTAGAAGTATCTGTTTATAAAAAGTTACTGAAAGTATAATGTGACCAAAAGTGCTTGCAAGTGATTAAGAGGTCTGCTTCTCATAAGGACCTGAGTTCAAATGTCTGTGGTATCTCTTACTATCTGTGTGGCCTGACTCAGTTAAGACTTGGTCTGCATATCTGTAAAATATTATTGTGGTGATTAAATGAAATAATGCTAATGAGACACTAAACATAGTGCCTGACTCCTACTAGGCATTCAATAAATAGTTTCCTTCAGTGCTCAGTTGTTTTATTATTTTATTGATGCTTTACACAGACACTGATCTCTTACTATAATATTCCTTCTCCCCTTTCTCTATCTAACTCCTGTTTGTCCTTTAGCATTCTGCTCTGGAACCATCTCCTTCAAGAAGCCTTCCCAAGTTCTTCCTTCCTCCAACTTGGGTAAGGTTCCACACCATAAAATTCTGTATGTGTTCACTTGTCTGTCTTCCCCCTTGAGACTGCAAATGCCTCAAGTGCTTGAGGAGAGACTGGACCCTCTTTATTTGTGTGCCTTTCACAACTTCACTGTCTGGTGCAGAGTAAATACTCAAAAGTATTTGTCACCTGAATGAATGAATGTATGAAGATCTACTCATGTTTTTAACCTCAGGAATTCTTCTTTTTAGAAAACCCAGCATGTTCTGAAGATGCTGAATCAACTCTTAGCATAGGGTGCTGACTTATCTGCTTCCTCACAGAGCACTGGCCTGAGCTGACCATGTCACTTTCACCATCCTGAAGGACTGAACAGAAGCATTAGTTTCTCTTGAAAACTTCCATTCCTTCTTTTCAAATGTGCCATCACAGTTGAATTGGCAATGTTGTCTTAAAATTTTGAAAAAGACACCCTGTCTGTGCCCAAATTTAAAAATCATTCTTGCCTAAAGTGAGTGGTTGATGGGAGCTTAACCACAAATACCAGCCATCATGCATTCCAAAAGCTCTCTGTGCCAAGTACTACTCTAAGAACCTATCCAACCTGCCTGAGAGAAATTTGTAGCAGAAAACAAATACATACGTACTGCATATACTATACATAAAAGTTTCAAAGGCAAGCTCTTAGGGTTTGTGGGAATTTAACAACATTTTGATTTAAAATATCAGCATTTCCATTTTAACTTGACTATTGGAGAGAAACATCATTGTATTTTGCTAATTGTATTTTTCCATGAATAAGTTCAGTATTAAGGATAGAGACCTTTTCTATGTCTAGTAATAAATACAATTAACTCCTTCAACAACCAGAAGCCTTATTGCAGTATTTATAATACACCCAGAATTCAAGTTTTAAGTCAATATTTGAATAAATAAACGTCTTGAAGGAAAAGGCCCAACCTTACTGAAAATATTTATATAGGTGTCTCTCAAACCCTATGTATGAATCTCTGGGAAATACCACAGAAACTATGTATTTGCTATTCCGGCAACTGGTCAGTTTGCTCATTGGTCAAGAATTTTAGGCAGGAACGCCTGACTGATGGATGGCTGGGGATGAAAAGACACCATAGTAAGGAACTTTCTCTTGCAACATAGGAGTGACCTCACTTGGCGTGGTCTCTGGAGCATGGGTTGAGTCCTTCTGTCCCACTGTTCCTTCTATCCCCCCTGCTTTTCCTTTCTCCCTCCCTCAGTTTCTTCCCCTCCTCTTTCTTTGTACCTTTCCCTGTCACTTTCTTACGAAGACGTTCTGTTGTCCCCCAGATTAAGTTAGGTTTCCATACTATGTGTTCCCATACCTTGGACACTGGAAACCTTAATCACATTTGTTGGCATCTGTTTAAAGTGTGTCTTTCTGACTGAACTGTGAACTATGTATGTGCCAGCTGTGTCTCTAGTGCTAGCCCTTAGTGCCAGTGCCTGAACCATAAGAAGTCTTCAACAAATATCACTGAGTGAATTGTTCAATAAATTAAGAATGTATGAATGGCATAAAACATTATATGGAGATGTTTCCAAGTGAATTTCTAAACAGAGAGAAAATGTTTACAATACTGTAGGGCACACACACATTCCTGACTGCTAAATGCTTAGGTTGGGAATTTCCAGAGTGAAGCAAAGGAGGGAAAGTGGGGGGACTTAGAGCTCCTAGAGAGCTTAATTTTTAAAAAGAAATTCTATTTATCATTAATTGAATTTTTTAGTCATATTATTAAGAATTAGTTTGGAATTTTAAATAACTTTAACACCATGGAATTTTAATTTTTATCAAAAGGAGGCATGCTTTTAAAAGAAGTTAAAATACTGCCTTAGCTTCTACTCTTTTTTTACGTAGTGGAGAAGGATAAGGATCAGAGCTCTGTTAGAAATAATAAATTCTCATATATCCCCACTATACAAAAATAATAAAATTAATAGACTACAATGTCACGATGACATAAAAATATAAAGAATTTTGGAAGTGACTACCTTCTAGGTGGCCTGTTCCTACTCATCTGACTCCTTAAAAGTGGTCATCCAACTCCATCCTCCAGCATATCATTTATATTATTCAGTCACTTCCCCTTCTAAAGCTGCAAAATTCTCCTTCCCAAATAAATAAATGCTTTCAATAACTTGTAAGAATGAAATAACTAACTGATCGTATAACTTGCTTTTATCAAAATAAATTTCCAGTCTCATAACTGATGTCCTATGTTTGTGTTGTGGAAAAGTTTTGCCCAATGTCACTGGTCACAAACAGTAATAAAACAGTAATACCCTAGCAGGTATGGAGCAGATGAGCCCCTAACTGGTACTCTCACATTTCAGGTATCCCTTTTGTTCTCTTTGCCGAACTAGAATAAAGCTTTTATCTTAATCCTAATGGATCTGACAGGCATCGATTTTCACATTAGTTTACAGTCTGATCTTTGAAGTGGAATTCCCTTGAGTTTTGAGAAAGCACCTTTCCAATGAGGGAGTTTTCACAGGTTCAGAGCAGTACAAAATCCTGTAAGGCAAAATCACCAGCATGATGGATCACACACAAGCAAGAGAGAGCCATGAGTCTTTCTAGTGACTGCACTTGTGGCATTCTGGGTCTCTCTGGACAGCATGCAGTCAAAGGATTATGGGTTTAGCTATATACACCTGAGTTTTCCATTAGCTGTTTCAGAGCAAAGGCCACACACGTTCATATGATTTAAAAGGAATCAAGGGAGTGGCAGCTTGTGAAGGGCATAGTACCTACCTATTACTCTACTTTGTTCAAGACAGTTCTCATATACACTGCTGCACTTGGAGTTCCCAGGCTGTACAAACAACAAATTGTGAAGCATTTACAAACAGTACACATTTGTAAACTTAAAAAAGAAAAACAGACGATAACAATACTCCCAGCAGACAACTTCACTTTCTGACACAAGAAACTTAGGGCAGGTAAGAAACTGAGATTCTGGGTGGGAGAGTACACTCCTTGTAGTCGCCTTTGGGAGCTGCAGAGGTAAATCTTCTGGGGGAGCATCATAAAGTCTAAATGTCCTGTGTCTTGAGGGGTCCTGCTTCTGGATTCAATCAAAGTTTCAGTCAGAAAGTGATTTTCTGTATGAATGCTGGTCATGTAGCCAACCTCTATATAATTGTGAGTTGACAGATTGAACCCTACTCTACTGAAGTGTTTGCCAGGCTCATTTTTCATTCCTGAAAATCTTACCCAAAGGGCTTGGCTTCAATCATCTCTACACATTTAGGTGCCCAGCAGCTGGTTGGGATCCACTGATAACTTTGAGAACAGCAGTGTCCATGCTTTAGAAAGATTTTATCTGGTAGTACCATGCAATTGGGTTTCAGAGAATGAGAATGGAAACAGGAAAGGGGCTTTCAGAATCATCTAGGTGAGTGAGGACCAGAATTTAGAAGGTGCAGTCTGAAAGGAAAAGTTTGGGTGGGTTGAAAAGATAATTTGATGGTAGAATCCTACATCTTGAAAAACAAATTGATATGGAGCCCAAAATGTGGCAAAAACAGAAGATGTGGATTAGTAAAAGAGTGGCAGTGACATTAATAAGCATGAGTAAACCAGTAGATGAACTGAGTTTGGAACTGAGGCAAAAGTGCTGAGTTCACCCTTGATTGAGTAAGCATTGTAAAGCAATGTAGCATTGTAGCTGGGGAGCAGGGTAAGGCTTGAAGACAGAAAGGACAGAAGAAGTGTGTACACATGTGGCATGCCAGAGGGGAGTTGAGGACCCAGGACAGGGCAGAGCTTTAGAGAGTGCTTACATTGTGGCAATGGGCTTTCAGGGGATGGGATAGAAGAAAATGTGATACAAATAAGAAAAAACACAACTACTTTGAAATGAATCAAGAGCAAATGTATAAAATGTTAATTATAGAATTTAGAGGGTAAGTATGTGATTGATCACTGGATAATTCTTTCAACTTTTTTGCATATTTGAAAAATATTCATAATAAAATGATGGAAAAGAAAAAGGAAGGAAGGAAAGGAGGAAGAGAGGAAAAAAGCAGTAACTAAAGATATGACAAAGAGAATGACAAGATGGAAATGTTTTGAAAGATAACAGAAAAGGTTTCAAAAAAGAAGAGGCAGCCAACAGGTGTCAAATGTTGTAACAGATGCAAAATATTGAAAAGGCAAATAGATTTAGCAATTAAACCACTGGCAACCATTGTAAAAGTCATTTCTATTAAGTTATCAAGCATAGTACAGGTCTTTAAAGCATCACTCGGCTGTGAAAGTAAAGATAAAGACAATGCTTCCTACAAGTTTGTGAGTGAAAGGAAGATGAGAAGGAGGTGGGACATTATTAGTTGGGTTAGAGAAGTCCAAGTTTATTTGTAAACAGAGGGAAAAAAACAACTGAGAATAAGTATCGAGACAGAGATTAACAAAGAGGACAAGGGCATAGAGTTAGAAGGAGGAGACTGGATTGAAAGCACAGGGAAAAGCTTAGCTTTGGAGACCGTTGCTAAGGAAAAGAAGCAAGGAGAACACAGAAAGACTTGGGGATGGGGAAGGGTGAAGTTGAGGATAACATATTGGATGGCTCTAGTTTTCCCAGTGAAATGAGGTATGAGGTCATCTGCTGAGGCTGTGGATGGAGGACTGGGAGTAAAAATGGTCTAGTACAGGCTCCAACAGTGATTCACTCTCTGGCCATGCATTTAAGGAAGATGGCACTTAATCCAAACTAGCATTTAGAAACCGTTGGATTAAGTCCTCTAGTGATAAGGGCAGAAACACATCGCTGGTTCCTGTAACAATAAAATATTACTTACTAAATAGCACAACTTCTCACACTGGATGGGGCAGTAAGCCATTTGTTCTGTGGTTTGAACTTTGACCCGTACATCTGAAACTCCACCTGCAGGTGGTTGCTTTCCTGGGATTTCATTGTAATATTCATGGTCTTCTCTCTCCTCAGCATGGCCATCAATATGCACCTCCTCACTGTAAGGAAAAAAGAACCCTCAAGAGGCTGGGCAGGAATTCAAATGCTGTAGGGGATGCAAAGGGATCAGAACCAAGCAAATCATCCTGAAAAACTTTGCATTCATGTTTTAAGTTTACAGCCGTGCTTAAGTGATGTCAAACATCTGGGTGGAAACAACTACGTGATTGAGTTGTTTAGATTTCTATAGATAATCAAAGTGGATGGAGCCAACAAAAAGTGTGAAGGTTGATGCTTTTGTGTTTCCCCCAGTAATAAATAATGGTAGTAGTAGTAGTAGTAGTAGTAATAATAATAATAAACTTCCTAAATGTAAGGCATTTTAGTTTTAGGATTGTAAAAATGCAAAATCTTCTTGGGTATCTGCAGCACACTTCAACTGTTCCATCTGGGGACCGTTTTATTCAAAGAAAATTTAGATATTATTCTTTGAGTAGAGGGCCTGGACAAGTTTATTAAACTAAGATGACAAAAAAAGAGAGAGAGTGCTATGGCCAGTTATCTTGTCTGTACAAAAGTAGACGAGTATATGGGATTCATAAAGAAATATTAGAGCCATATGCGGCAAGTGGGTAGATTTATGTAAACATGAAATTTTTTTTTAAATTGAAAGAGGGTAAAAAAAGAAACAAATGAATTTTCTTCCAAATGGAATTAGTAAAAGTTTCTTCTAAAAAAAGGAATAAATCGTGTTTCTTAGCATAAACTGATTCTACTGATGATCCACACAGTTTTGTTGGATTTATTACATGTAAACAAAATGATAGCACTGAGATGAAAGAGCTATCCTGGGAAAAGCTGAGGATCATGGCTTCTGGTAATCCCCTTTTCTTTGTTACCCTAACCAGTTCAGGGGGGAGATCACCTAACCCAGTTTTTGTTGAAACACAAAATCACAAATTAGAGGTGGGAGGAGAAGCGTACCCAGGAGCTTCCTTTTTCAAGTGTGAACTGTGTGAGCCAGAGGCCTCTCTGCATTCCACACATGGTGGAGTCTGAGGGGCCTCAAAGGGTTCAGCTTTCATTGTGGACTTTTTGGGCCTGAGACAGAACAACCAGATCATTGGGCACTGTGTCCCTCCTCCCTGCCACCGTGTAGCTGAGCTGTTCTAGCTACACTGCAAACCACAAACTAAGTGACATGCAGCAGACATTTGATTCTTATTATTCTGCTCTTTGTTCTTGGCTTTATTTTGTTTTTACTAATATGCAAGAAATCTGTGGTTAAAACGAATCTGAGAAACGTGTTGATGTCTATTATTTTATAACTGCCTAACTCATAGCTCTACATAACACTAGGAAAAGAGGACTGACTCCTCACTACTGCTGTCTTTTTAAATCTTGTTCTAAAGCAAGAGAAAAATACCAGGATAAATGTGAATGGAAGAAAAATAGAAAATGTTCCTATCATTTTGTACTGAAACTATACCTGTTGGTAAGAAAAAAATACTATTTCATTCATTGACTTTAAAACATCATATTAATTAAAAAATATATAAAGAGAGAGCAAGTCAAATAATTATAAACTCTTGGCTGACCTTTCACAAGAAGTAGTCAAAGAAGGATTTTTCAAGTACTGCTTAAACCGGAGTTCAAAAGCCTGCCCTATGGTACCTATGACATCTTGGGCCATTCCATTGCGACATTCCAATATGTGGCATGCTGTGAGGACAAATATAAAAAATTAATATTATAATAGATTTTCAATACGAGAAGGTCATAGAAAGTCAAAATAGTTCCAAAACATGAACTAAAAACCGGATAAAAGGGAGCAAGTTTACAAGCTTTCTTCAGCTCTGAAACGATATAATCAATACTGCATATTTCATGTGAATCAACAAGAAAAACATTCAAAGCTTACATCTAAATATCTCAACACACAAATTTGGTCTGAAGGCAAGTATTTTGGGCTCACATTTTAATAAAAATGGACTGCCTTGACTAATGGTGTGACTAATTTTTTGTGCTAGCTCTTGAATTCAGTGCAGTAGATGCGTAGGGCAGCAATCCCAGGAAAATGAGGATTGAGGTCTCGTCTTTGCATGACACTTTATGGAAGACTGAAAAAGAGATAATTTGCCAAATCCATTCCCAAAATGAAGGCTGAGTTGCTGATGAAGACAGGGGCTTTGGAATATCCTTACCTCTATCTAGCCCTCTGCCTCGTCATTGCTATGGTAAAGCAGTGATAAATACAGTAATACCCATGTTTGAAATCCCACTTAAGAACCACCTCCAACAGGCACTAAAATTAAGATTTTATGAAGGTGTCATTACCAGAAGCTAACCAATTTTTGTTAGATTGTTTCTCAGAGAAGCAATTACTGAAGAGACTAGTTTTCACACGTAAAATAAATAAAGGGGAGGGCAGCTGACAGCACCTCACAATAGTATAAATTAGCAAATCTGCTGCTACTGTAAAAAAAGAGCTTGTGTTTACAAACTATAAATTAATCGCCCCACCATATGTCATGTCATTCTTGATTTGGTTAGAGATGGAGTCATGCTTAGGGCCTTGTAATGTAAAGTTTTAATTACCCAGAGTTTCACAAGAATGTGTTAGGAAGAGTACTAAAAGGCACCAAGTATTATGAAACATACAATATTCTTTAAAAGAGCACTTGGACAGCCTGGAGAATCGAGGGATGAGGAAATGTTTGGCAGTGTTTTAACACACATTCATAAGAATGTTACAAAAAAAATATCAGTGATTCTCTCAGAATAGGAAAGAAAAAAAGGCGATGTACTTAAGGGAACACATGGGGAATGAAATTAAAGACCAGGGAAAGCATCTTGAGTCTCAAAATTTGAAAGCAACACTGGAACAAATTACTAAAAGAGAAATCTGAGGAGAGGAGAGAGAGCTGTCTTTGTGTACTAGAAGCACGATTTTATGCTTCTATTTATTTACATAAAAGGCAATTCATTCCCATCTGGTAGCATTTGGAGAGCTGATAAACAGTAGGTAAGAGAAGCACCTGCATCAATGTTTCTTAACCTTATATTGATAATTATCTCAAGGAATCTCAGATATCCTCATTTCAGACTTTTATGTGTGTCTTCGAACATTTTTGGAAGAGATATGTGCTTGGATCCTGAGATAGACTTAGGAAATAATTATAGTTTTGAAAGCTCAATTAAGTAAATTTATATCTCTTCTTCCAAAAGAAAATGTTTGGCCTATCTTTAGACTGCTATTTTATATTGCCCCTATATTTTTCTCTACAGAAGCTTTTCATAGTGACAAACACATAGAAAGTATTTTTAAAATATTTATTGAATAAATACTTGTTTCCCTAAATCATATCAATATTTCTACTGTAAGAAATTATCTTACATTTTCTGAAGTGAGAACTACAGTGAGTCCCCATAGTAGAGCATGTTCTTGTAATCACTGAGTAAGAAATGATTGGTTGGATTATTTGTGGAAATACAGTCTTTCCTTCAGATCAGGTCTCATGCACTGTGACCTATAAAGTGTCATTGGAGATGTACCCTCCAGTTAAATCAAGAGAACTCATGTTACATTATACAAAAGGAAATTAGTTTGAATTCTTTTGTTTTTAATCTCATACATTAGAGGATTAATTAAAAATGAAATCAAAATCAGAAATACAATCAAAACAAAGACAAGTCCTGTAATTTTTTCTTAGGGCTAAGGAGATGTCAAGAGATAATGAAGAAGATAATGAGAAAGGCAGGAGATTCAAGCATGAGTAAACAACAAAGCAAAGTCATACTTCCATTAAGAAAGGTAAGAGAATAAGGATGCTTAAAAGAACTCTGAGAAAAGATTCAGATCTGAGTTCAAGTTCCAATTATCCCACCATCTATGTGACCCTGAATAAGTAGCTCCACGGCAAGATCCTCACCTGCTCTGGGTAACCTTTGAAGTCCCTTTTTTCTTTATAGAAATCCTGTCCTTCCTCTGTTGTAGTGACTTAAATCCTCTTAAGAAGAGGACAAGGCATGTGGGCACACAGGAAGAATGAATCAACCAAGCACACCATCCTCTGACACTTCAAACATACTTCTAAAATGTTATATTTATCTCAACTTCTCTGATCTGACACCTGGATTTTTTGGTTGTTCCTGTTCATGGGAAGATTCTCCAACATAATTTTCTGCTTTGTTTTGATAATCTGTTACTGGAATATTACTTTTTGAGAAGATTAAACAGAACAGAAGCATGGACTCTCTCCATGAAAGAAGTCACAATGGACACAGAAGTTGACCCTGTGCTGACTTCTCAGTCTTGCCCATTTGGTAGTGCTACTGTTGCCACTCACAGACATGCTGCTCTGGATATATGGGGTTTTTTAGGTTTGTCATAGCCAGCATAGGAAGGGACCTTGAGATATGTTTACCAGTATCTCAAAAAGCTTGGCCAAGAATTGCCCAGTTTTCAGTTTCCACATATGATGAAGGAAAAAAGACAAGTCCATAAAAAGTCTCAGTCCATTGGGTGATGTCATAACCTTGCCATGGAGGTCTGAGCTTTGCTCTCCATGTCTAGGAGCAGATGCAGGTCTATATTCTTTTCATCCTACCTGTAGTCAGACAGACCCCCATTCTACCCCCCGAGTATCAGGTACCATAAGTAAGATTTAATAGAATTTTAGATTTATATTCCATCATTTTCATTTTCCTTTGGTTTCCTAACTGGGTAGTCATGGACAAGAGGATAAAAACTATTCTTAGAGATAACAGAGCCTTATCTGCTAGTTTTATTTTTAACAGACCAACTTTTGTTTAGAATTAGAAAAAGCTAGAAAATTAGAAATTCAGAAGTTCAGCATCTCAGGTTGCCCACCAGATGGTGCTATGGGATCAAAGCAGAGAGTTTTCTTCGGAAGAAGACGGCCTGAAGAAGCAAGCCTGGCAGCTGATGTTAACTCATGTCACAGGGACTGCAGTCCATGCACTTTACGACCATAAATGTAAATTAATACATTTGTTTAGACTTTATTTTGTGGGTTTTTATTGTTGTTTGTTTTACCTTTCTTCTGAGACTCAGACCAGGACCTTCCTATATTGAGATAGCCCAGGTACACTGGACTCTGCAAACTAAATTCAGAGAAAATATTAAAATCTTCCTAAAATGCTAGAAAACTGGAGTATGAGGTGGGGAGAACATGGGCTTCCTCACTTACAGTGATTATTCACTAAGTAAACTCAAGACATTCTTACTGGAACTTGCCTTTTCTACATAAAATGAAGAGTTCGAAAAAGGTCCCTAGTTAAGAAAGGAAAAGGTAACAACTGCTTGATTTCAATGCTCTAACACGACAAGTACATGAACTAAGCACATGAAAGAGTCAGAACACTCAGGATCACTAACATGAACAATGGTCTCCTCTGCCCCCTCTGCTTCCTGTCGGCCATACTCTCCTCCTCTTCCCTGCCATCTGTCTTTACTACTCACCAGAATTGTGCCTTCCAAGGTGAATTCCTGAACCAATGGACTATTAATTGTGTGACCATCCCTGACATCTTCTCTAGGAGAAACTGGCTCTTCCTCCTCCTTGGGTAATACTCATCTCCTGATGTCATCTCCTCCTCCTCGCTCAGGTACATCACTTCTCCTTTGACTTCTCACACTCCTGAAATCCTCAGCTCTCTTCTTTCTGGATTCCTCCTTTGGTGATTCACTCACTAGTAAGGCTAAGAAGTTGCAATTTTTCCAAACCTGTACCTACAGGTGTGGTTCTCGTTTTCTCTCTTCTTCCCTCTCCCTCTTTCCTTTCCCCCTCTTTACTTTTCTCCTTTTGCTTGCTTTTTCTCTTCTCCCTCAAGACTCCCTCCTTGGACTGGAGAACTGTTGACCATTTTCCCCTGGATGAACCAAATTTACTAGGTAATTTTATAACATTTTCTTTTTGGTTTCACTATTTTAATTCAAGGATTTAGAACTTTTACTTAAAAAATATTCAATGCAAAAGTTACAGAAAATAAAAAGATACCAATAAGAAATAACATCTCACTACCCAGGGACAACCACTATTAAGAATTTGGCATATGTCTTTCCTATCTTTCTTTCTAAATATACCCTGCCTCCACCCTAGACCATACTATACACAATTGCTTCATATCCTGCCTTTTTCACTTAAAACCATTGTGAATGTTTTCCCCATTCTAAAATAACCTTAATAATTGCTTCATAATATGCAACAATGGAATCAATTTGCTATGAATAATTAACTAATTTTATTTGTCCTATTATACAAATAATATGACAATGATCTGTATGCTTAATCTCTGTGCATGTCCTCATTACTTCCTCGGAAGTGAAATTGCTGGTTTAAAAGTGTTTACATTTTTAAGACTTTTGATGTAAATTGTCAAATTGCTCTGCAAAAATGTCTGAATCTATCTTCTTATTAGCAGTGTTTAAAAGTAACTATTACTCTAAGTCACATTTTACCATTTTTTAATGTTTGAAAATTAAAGACAAAATATGGTGTCTAATTAATACATTGTGTGTATCTGATTGCTAGTGAGGCTAAACTTTTTTTATTTGTCAAATGTTTCTTTGTAGCTTATAATGTTCTTTTGTGAAGTTGTTCTTAAAACTTGGAATTGGTTCATTCACTTAATGACGACCTTAGGAAAACCGCTCTTTTTTTGGTGGGAGGGGAAAGACAGGGTCTTGCTATGTAGCCCAGGCTGACCTGAAACTCAATCCTCCTGCCTTAGTCTCCCAAGAGCTAGGATTACAGGTGCACCACACTACACCCACCTTAAACCTACCTTTATTTGACTTGTGTTTTTCTTTCTTTTCCATAAAGAAGGAATAATATCATTGCCTACCTCACGGGGTTTTTGTAAGGATGAAATGAGTTAATGAGGACAAAATTCTCCTGATAGTATCTGGCACGTGGTGAACAGGAAATAAATGGTAGCTATTTTCTTGCCCTATTTCTCTATCACATTGCTTATCTTTTTCCTATTGGTAAGAATCTCTATTTCGTTAGTGTCAACACCATTCCAAAACATACAGGATAATAATAATAGCTACCAATTTTTACACACCTATTATAACCAAAGAACTACACAGTCTTTGGTAACATTTGATTCCTATTTCTTCATCAACTCTCATGTCTAAATAGTCATCAAACACTATTATTCCTCAAATTTGTCTCAAATTGTCCTTCAAATTACTCCTTCAAAGCAGTTTCAAACATTATCATCTCTCCCCAGGATTAATGATATGTCCTCTGAATTTGGACTCCACAATTCGACTGTTTTTCTGCACTCCAATATCTCTTTACAGATATAACTTCCAGAAAAACTATCATATTACGATTTCAATAAATAATTATTTATTTTTATGAAAATAATAATTTTCATAAAACCCAAAATCTTTGATGGTGCCTAGTGATCTATTGGCTGACATCTGATGTCCTCTACAATCTATTTCTGGCCTCTTTCCCTTCTCTGCAATTCCACCTTCACAGATGTGCTTATATACAATAACACAGCTGTAGTTCACATTACACTGCTCTCACCTGTGACTTTTCCATTTATTCCACAAATCCTAACTGAGCACAGATCCTGCCCAAGCCTCTGTTCACTAGGTACCTTTCCGCAGTAATTATTTTTCTTCTGTAACAATGTATATTAGGATAGAGTTAATATTTTTGTGTGCTCAAAAACTATGTCATTACCACTTTGTGGATACCATTAGTTCAGAGGCTTGGGTGAGGAGAAAAGATGTAACGCTAGAGCAATGCACAAGCAGGGGCATATGTTAAGAATGCAGTAGCTTTTCACAGGGATTTTCATAACAAGATAAATAAGAAAAGGGACAACCTCAGGACCAGGGAGACTGAGGTGAAGGATAAAGATTTCAAGGACAGCTTGAGCTACATAGCAAGTTTGAGGCCATCTTGGGATATATATTGAGACTCTGTCTCAAAACAAAAACAAAGAGGAGAGTGGATGGACTGGAAAAAGAGGAACAAGTGATAAGGAGATGACTTTTAAATCCAAGAAAATTACTCTATGTTTCTAAGTTGTTTGTCCACTTAGAAAGACTTTTTTCTTAAAAAGAAAGAAAGATGAGAAAGGAGGGAAGAAAATTATGCTTTCAGATTATCACCTCAGTTATCCATCCCCAAAACACCAGGAGCCAAATGTTCTATTCCCACTAAAAAGGGTGAAGAACTTGAAGTTTGAGGATGTGAAAACAATCCACCTAAGGTCATACAGTGAAAGGGTGGGAAAATTATGATTCCACTCAAACCTTTCTGACTTCAGGACTCATCTTTTCCTAAACACAGCTGATGGCTAAGGAAAAACCTGAAACTTCTTTTTGAGCTGTTTCTGTCCTTCAAAGCCCATCCGTGACCTCACTCAATAGCTCTCATGAATGCCCTTTGAAAATCCACATGCAAGAATCCTAGCTCTGACAAAGCACCCAGGCTCCAGAACGGAAACCTTTCTCAGCCAACATGCCTCATCACGATTTTCCCACTTAGCAAGGGGAGAGATCTGCAAGCACATGGATTCTTCTTGGCCCTTACCCTCTGACCTCTGAACTCCTTGCCACTTTTTACTAAAGATGTTCAGTGACTGATGGCAAAGTTCACACGTCTGAATTTCCTGATGTATCTTTTTCTTCCTATTATCCTGTCCTTTTCATGTTAGGAAAAAAAAAGTTGTGCTGTTCAGAGGCCTTCCCAATTTTAGAAAGCAGTTATACTTTCGGAAGGTTCAGGTGGGATTGAACAAAGCTGCTTTTTGCTGTGTTCTGCTCCTGCACCTCCACTGCCCCTTCACTAGCTCCCACCTCTTCTATCTATTCTTCGACTATCACCCATTCTTAGCTTAGAGTGACTCAGTTTTAACAAAGTATCTCATAGTGTTTGTCACCTGTCCCTTCCTTTTCCACTATTAGGGCTATGTTTTTTGTTTTGTTTTGTTTTGGCAGTACTGTGGTCTGAACACAGGGCCTTACCCTAGTAGAGGGCTTGCCTAGCAAGGCTCTACCACTTGAACCACACCTCCAGCAAAGCTATGTTCTTTTGGCAAGCACTTCCCAACCATCTACTACGTGCCAGGCTCTATGCCAGCAGCTGATTCTCATCATTTCGTTTGTGACAATCATACTGCTTCCAAATGAATCTCTCTGAAACAGCCAGCAAAATCAATCCTTCTAAAGTTCTGCTTTGTAAACAGCACTCTCTACTCATTTGCCCACAAGATGAAATCCCTACTTGTTAGCTCTTTACTATCTGCCCACTGGCTGACTTTTAGATTTCTTTTTTCCTTCCTCCACATACTTTCTACAGTTCATTGTGTTCTGCTCATTTGCTTCCCAGCGTGACATGTGTATTTCCACATCTGTGACTAATAGTTCTAAGTTTTCCATACCGTACTCTACATTCACTTAATGAATATTTGGGGCAAACTTCATACCTGGGGTGGACTAACAGGTTCTTGTTAAGGAGAACTGACCAACATCCACCCCTAAGAGGTGTCTGCACATCTCAGGGTTAGTGATGAGAAGCAATACTAACCATGTCTGTTCAGAGAGGTCCAACCACCTGAGCATCACAGCATGGCTGGAAGACAAATTTCTCAGATAACCTTGTTAAGTCCCAGGGTGAGAAATCCAATCAACTCTTCCATTCACTTAGTCACTCAACAAAAATATTTTTATTGCATCACCTGTTTGCTAGGCATTGGGATGAGGGTTTGGGAAACAGTGAGTAAAAGAAATAGTTTCTGCCTTCATAGAGACTTTAGCCTAATAGAAAGGACACACCAAACATATAAACAAGTAAACAAAATAATAAAACATGGGTTGATAATAATAAGAGAAATAAGTGTTATGATGTAGCAGGGTGGGATGAGCTTTTGGAGATAGGAGGAACTATCAGTCAAAGGTCTGTCTGAAGAAATGTTTAAGCTGAGATTCAAAAGATCAGAAGTCAAACACTCAAAGCAACATTCCAATCTCCTGAACAAGTACACAGGCTCAACATATACACACACACACACGCACACACACACACACACACACACACACACACACACACGCTACTCTACAGGCTGATAACTTCATTGTCTAAGATCTTGTGTGCCACAACAACTCTTCTCTCTCTCTCTGTCTCTCTCCCCACGCCTCTTTTCAGCACACAAGCAAATATAAATCCCCACCTATATATCACCTCTACTTTTCTCTGTGAGCAGGGTTATTTACTTCCAGCTCAAATTTACATAGCATTTCTAGAATAAAGCACTCTAATGACACTCATCACTCTGTATATTAAAAACAACTGCTTGCTAATTTTTAGAAGTTGGTATCTACAGCTCTCAAGAAAAATCTCAAAGTTGCTTTCCATACCTCGTTGATTAACTGGATCTTTAGCTACATAGGCAACATAGTCTGTAGTATCCTATAAAAAAGGAAAACAATTGCATTACAAATGGATGAATTGTCCCATTAGGTAACAGTACATTTAGGATATGACTCTGAATCAAAGACTTAAATAGGATTGTTTCTGTTCAAAGGGAAAAGGAAAGCATTGTAGTTTAACAATTGTGGTGTCCATATTCTCTCCTGCTTGGGGGAGAATCAGAAGATCAAAAATTTAGAGGCACACTATGTCATTCAGAATAGAAGAAAACTCAGATGCTAGGAACACTGTTTAAAAATGGCTAAGGACTATGGCTCTCCTCTGTGCTGTAAGTTAAAGTAGCACTGGTTACGCAGTCACAAAGGTGTCATAACCTTGGATGTGGCATCATGATTCTCTATGCTCCAAATAGATACCAAGTACCTCAGAAAATAAATTGATCTAAGAGACATATTGGGTTGTGGTTGATAGTTTGCATGTGTGCAGTGCAAGCTAACTTTAAAATAAAGCAAAAATACAATGTATATATTTGATCTATGCATAGAGAGGAAAATCACTTTTTAAAAGGAGAACTTATGAAAAACATAAGAAGTTCACAAAGAAATATGCTGCTAGCTTTGTAAAAACAAACAAACAAAAAAGCCACTTGGTAATTCCAGCTTTTATTGAAAACACTAAGCTGATGAATGATAAGATTTTAATAATTAAAGATGCTTTTTGTTATCTCAATTCTCAGAAAAAAATACACACAATGTCATTTGTGGATTAGAAGTATGATTCTCTAGAGGGAAGATGCAATCAACTCACAGGAAATAAAAGCCTATGTCTGTAATACCCTCAAGGACAAATGCTTAATAACCCACAATGAATCACACAGGAAGTGGAACTCAGGGTCAGCATAACTTGTCTTGCGTTATTTTTAAAAATAACACACACCTAAGTAAATTACTCATGCAAAAAAAAAAAAGAAAATAAAGGTTTGAAATATCTTCTAAATAAATATGGTCATATGTGTGAGCTTTGTTTTACATTAACTAAGAGGAAAAGCCATGATTGCTGCAGACTTTACCCTCATGTCAAGCTGAAGCAGTAGCATGATGTCAGCAATGTTGTCTGGTGCAGTAGACCTTGAACCTCAGGGGCTCTGTGTGGAGGATAACTGTGAGAGGGGACTGACATACTTGCTTTTTGTGGCTTCAATATGATCAACAAGAACATCCCCCACCACAGATAAGGACCCTGAACCTTGGAGACATTAAATAAGTCAAGTCTACTTGACTCCAAGACCTGACACTATACTCTACATTCCCTCCTAGACATAATAGCAAAACTTTACTGGGGGGAGGGTCCTAATGCCAATGCTTAGCATAGATCCAGATTACTATATTAAATCAGAATCATTCACGGGGTTCCACTCAATTCAGCAGGTATGAATTTGTCCCACAGTGGCTACAGTCTCTTTGCTGTTTGTTTTTGGCAGGGGCAGTGCTTTGGTGAACTGAAAGAACCAAGGAACCAAAGGCATATGGAGATGGAACCAAAAGCAGTAGATTCTTGACAGTAAGAAAATTGGGAAGGGCATGCATAGGGTAAATGAGGGTTTGCACACCAATTCTGAAATGATAGCAACACTTGAAACTTGAAAAGAGTAAACTTGGGGCAAACACCAATAATTATTTTTCATACTACACTTACAGAACATTACTTTAAGTCTCTTAAGAAAAGTACTTCAGTTCCCTTCACCAATGACCAAGCTATCACAGGTTAGGAACAGAAACGACCATGCCAGTGATGTTCAGCCTGCATTTATTGGACCTTCTCTGTTATCCAATTCTTGGTGTCATGGTTGAGGCTAGATTATAAGGATGGATAGATCAGGGTCCAGATCCACTAGTGGGCTCACATAATAGCTGCAAACACAATTAGTTATCTTGGAGGAGGGGAGAAATGGAACTCATAACTTTTGGTTGGTTTTATTTGGTGGCATCATGGAATTAACACAGTCACTTGAAAATAACTATCTACAAGGCCAAAATTGAGTACCCAATAAAAGAAAACAAACAAACAATGATCTGAAATCTTGAAAAGGCCAGGAATTTTTTGTTGGTTGGTTGGTTGGTTGGCTTTTTGAGACAGAGACTCAGTATGTATATAGCCCAGGCTGGCCTCAAACTCGCCATCCTTTTGCCTCAGCCTCCCAAGTGCTGGGATTACAGGCATGTACCACCATGCCTGGCATAAAGGCTGCTTTTCTTTCATATGCTTCAAATAAGTTCTGAAGGCAGATTATCTTTGGGTTGCCACACTTGAGTACTCTTAGTTTTTGATAGCCAGTATGAAGGCAAGTAATCTCTGAAGTGTTTTTAAGAATGGGCTAATTTCAATAGCATTAAGCTATATACTTCATACACAAGAAAGTTACACCAACTCCCAAGTAAGACTTTGCTCAAATACTTTAGAAGTCAGTAAATGATGCAATGATCATCCAGAGAAACTTCATAACTTTATTTCCCTTTAGGATACACGGATGCTGCTCTTCCTATTAAATACTTAGCCTATAGTTTAGAACAAATAAAAACTTTACACTGACACTAACTGCCATATTTAGTTTGTTTTTACCACCATTCATACCTATCTTAGAGTTCTCGTTTATGTGTCTCATCATTTATTACTCTAAATTGTATTAATCAATGAGAAATGAGAAACATTGTGGCGGATTTAAAAAATCAACTGTTAAACTAAATTTAATTGGCTCATTTCTGAAGGAGATGATATTTAGTAATGAATACTTTGCAGAAAAGAAGGTAAAACATTCTGGATAAGAATGAGGTCTGCATATGTTCTCCAATTGTTTTCTTCATTTCTTTTTTTTTCTTCTTTTTTTCGGGGGGGAGCAGTACTGGAGTTTGAACTCAAGGCTTTCACTCTACCTCTTAAGCCACACCTCTAGCCTTTTTGCTCTGGCTATTTTGAAGATGGTATCTCAATTTGCCCCCCAGGCTGGTATAGATCACAATCCTCCTATTTTATGCTTTCCATCATCACTGGGATGACAGGGTCACACCACCACGTCCTATTGAGATGTCTCACAAACTTTTTTGCCTGGTCTGGCCTGAAACCATGATTCTTCTGATCTCAGCCTCCCACATCACTTGCATCAACTATTGGTAGAGATGGGGTCTTGGGAATCTTTTGCCCTGGCTGCCCTCCAACCACATTCTCTGGGTCTCAGCTTCCCAAATAGCTAGGATTACAGGCATGAGGTGCCCAGCTTCCAAATGTTTTTTTTATGTCATTGATGTTCAACCAATTATAAAAGCTTTCCATATGCTTGCACTTACAAAAAATAGCCCATAATCTCACAAAAGAGCAAGATAGAAGGGTTTCTATTCTCTCAATTAGACCTGTCTCTTGTTCAGTCACTTAGGCTCCACAGTTTCAATGCTTCTTTCCAAACATTCTAGTCCATAAATGATCCAGTAGAGTCGAGGAATGGCACTCCATTCTGCAAAATAGGCTTGGAGAGAGATCTTGCAGTTTTCACGAAAGGAGCACAACATGGCCTCTTGATAGAGAAGAATTACGATCTCTCTCTCCCTAGCTGAGCATTCTTTCTATGGGTTTCTGCACACCTAGTTGCTTATTCTAGGTTAGGTTTAGTAGCCTTGGTCGATAGCAAGGATGGAAAATAGGCTTTCCCTCATATATATCAAATCAATTCATTACTATAATCTGTCTGGAGCTCTGTGTTGAGAATAATTCTGAGAGGGGACTGGCAACACAGGTATGAGAGGCAAACTTGCCTTTCATGACTTTGATGTTATCAACCAGAAGCTTATCAGATGACAACTCCATGGCTAATAACATAATCCAGTGCTAATCCAAATGTTTTTAAATTCAATGGCAGGAAACATTGTGCCCAATTCAAGTTTTTCTTATCTGCTATTTGCAGTTATTAACAAATTACAATAAGATTTAGAAAAGGCAAGATGCTGGCTAACTGCTTTACATGAAAGTTCTATTAACTCTTACAAAAAAGCACTTTTATGAATCCATACTTACAGGATCCCCTCCTGAGGCAAATGAAATAGACTGCATATGATGATTTGCAATAATCTGAAAAACACAAATAAATATGTATGATGTTATAAATTATTATTCTTAGTTATATACAGTTTAACAGTAATAGCTATGCATTTGTTTGGATTTTGCTTGATTAGCATCTATCCACATTCTATAACAACCTCGTCTAGTTGTTGCTTTTGGTGCTGGGGATAAGCCCAAGACCTTGTGAATACTAAGCATGAGCTCTATCATAGAGCTAATATCTCATTTAAACCATGAGGTTTGGGTGGGTTTGACAAGCCCATCTCACTGTCCCTCCCCACCTAGATGGTCACATGATCCAGGCATACCCAATCAGCAAATATCATCTTGCTGGATACAGCAGAGCCAATCAATATTTTTTTTGAAGGAACTTAGATGGAGAATAGGAGAGAAAGCATCTCCCTCTGCCATTAAGAACCATGTACGCTCAAGGTTTCTGAGGGGCCCTCTTTTGCTACTATGTAGGAAAAGCCTGCTTGAGCATGAAGCTTTCCTTCAGCAAATAACACAGAGCTAAAAGTTAAAAACAGAAAAAAAGTCTGGTGGTAACATTTGTTCCATCATTTTAACCAATACATTCTCTCCCTTCCTTTTAGAATTTTATTTTTACTAATTTTGTGTTCATTACTTTTCATAGTTTGAGTTTGGTTTCAGTCATTCACTAACAACTATCCTAAGGCACAAACATTAAGACTTCCAATAGTAAGTAAAGCTAGCCAAGAAGATTATATTTCTGATAGAAATGTTACCAATGTCATTAATGGAAATTTTCAAGCTATTTCTAAAATTAATATGGAAGAATAAATATACAAAACAGCTAAACCAATTTTTAAAAAGAGCAAGTAGACAAGATTTACCTCATTAAGGCTGGAGGTGTACTCACCCCTGTTAGAATAGCCATCATTAGCAACACCACGAACAACAGGTGTTGACGAGGATTCGGGGGGGAAAAAGGAACCCTCTTACACTGTTGGTGGGAATGTAAACTAGTACAACCACTCTGGAAAAAAATTTGGAGGCTACTTAAAAAGCTAGACATTGATCTACCATTTGATCCAGCAATACCACTCTTGGGGATATACCCAAAAGACTGTGACACAGGTTACTCCAGAGACACCTGCACACCCATGTTTATTGTGACACTATTTATAATAGCCAAGTTATGGAAACAGCCAAGATGCCCCACCACTGACGAATGGATTAAGAAAATGTGGTATCTATACACAATGGAATTCTATGCAGCCATGAAGAAGAACGAAAAGTTATCATTCGCTGGTAAACAGATGGAATTGGAGAACATCATCTGAGTGAGGTTAGCCTGGCCCAAAAGACCAAAAATCGTATGTTCTCCCTCATATGTGCACATTAGATCAAGGGCAAACACAACAAGGGGATTGGACTATGAGCACATGATAAAAGCGAGAGCACACAAGGAAGGGGTGAGGATAGGTAAGACACCTAAAAAATTAGTTAGCATTTGTTGCCCTTAACGCAGAGAAACTAAAGCAGATACCTTAAAAGCAACTGAGGCCAGTAGGAAAAGGGGACCAGGAACTAGAGAAAAGGTGAGATCAAAAAGAATTAACCTAGAAGGTAACACACACGCACAGGAAATTAATGTGAGTCAACTCCCTGTATAGCTATCCTTATCTCAACCAGCAAAAACCCTTGTTCCTTCCTATTATTGCTTATACTCTCTCTTCAACAAAATTAGAGATAAGGGCAAAATAGTTTCTGCCTGGTAGCGAGGGGGTGGGGGAAGAGAGGAGGGGACCGGGGCAGGGGAGGGGAGGAAGCGGGGAGAAATGACCCAAGCATTGTATGCACATATGAATAAAAGAAAAAAAAAGGACCATCTTTGTGATCTAATTAGTAAGTTCAGGAGTTGGTGGAGAAAGAAAAATTACTGCTGATCAAGACCAAAATAGCCGTGATTAGGTCTGAGGAGTGAAGAGCCGAGCGCTGCAGAGGTGGCAGCATGTGCGTAATACCTACTCGTAATTCACCCGGGGCCATTTGCCCGCTGTAAACAGCAAGTGACAAATGAACAGCAGAGCCATGGCACTACTTCACACACTGAGTAAACTCTTCATGATACTCCACCATCAAGTTATCGCGACAGTATAACTCAAGTAGGAAGGAGAAGATGAATGAGAAGAGATCTCAAAGTTAAAAGGTTGAACTTTTATCTTTTCTTTCTTAAGTATGGATCCAATGACAAATGCATTAATAAATTGGACATGATTTGCAGTCTAACAAAAAAAGAAAGATAACCTCAAAACTAAAGCTATGGAAAAAAACCAGAGAAAATACCATTAGACTGATAAAATTGTTAAAGTTCAATAAAACAATGTGTGGTAGGGCTGTGGGTTTTCTCAAATGCTGCTGACTACAGCTTAAATTTGTACAGCAACTCTGGAGAACAGTTTGATAGTATTTTTTTAAACTAGTGAATGCATGATCTACAATTACACCTTTTCTCATTTTTCTAGAAAACACTGGCACAAGTGAATGTTCATTTACCCATTGTCTATAATGTCTAAATAGTTAGGTCCACTGTAGGATAGTTACCTAAATGAAAAAACAGGATCAAAGCTAAATTTTCACAACATTGCTGAGGCTTTTCCCCCAAGTTGAAGACAGTTATGTAAAACACAAGATATTTTTCCTACAAGTAAAGGTTCATGTAATCGCAAAGAAAAATGATTTAAAGAGTACACACCAAATTGAACATAGTGAAAAGTTAGCTCCTGGGAAAAGAAATGGGACCACTAGAACTTGATAGATAAGATAGCTATTCTCGGGAAGGATAATAACTTCCCTGTTTATAATGTGTGTGTGTGTGTGTGTGTGTGTGTGTGTGTACACTTACCTGTCGTGAACTTATATTTTTTTAAATACTTGTGACTGTAGTTAACAACGGATCATTTCTTAATATGTTGGTCTGCGATGACAGATATTATCTACTTTGAAGATGCGTATTTGGAAGTTCAGAGCGCCAGGATGACAGGTAATTAAACCTTGGGAAGCTGCGATTGTCAATGCGAGGAAGAAGAAAGGAGGGGCGGGGCGGAGTCTGAAGTGTTGCTATGGAGACCACGTATTTTCCAGTTGACAGCATCATACGCAGAAGTACCGTTGAGAAACGCAAAGCCCAACTAATGCCCTTTCATACAACCTCCGGATAAAAGGTTCGAATCAATCGAGAGGTAAACCATCGAGCCACGCCGCTAACGTTCCCTGGGGAACCGCAAGCGGCTCCAGCCAGAGTGGCGCGCCGAGCGGAGGCGTCCTTCGGGTAGCACGCATGCGCACTGGGATGACGCAAGCGCGCGGAACTCGCGCGTGCGCATCCTGCACGACCGCGCATCTCCTGCCTTGCCGAAAGCGTTCTGCGAGAGAGCTTTTTTCCACAATGTCTGAAATGGCAGAACTGTCGGAGCTGTATGAGGAGTGCAGTGACCTGCAGATGGATGTGATGCCTGGAGAGGGAGACCTTCCGCAGATGGAGGTAGGCGTTGGGAATCGGGAACCATCCCTGAACCCCTCCCGCAGCGGGGCTGCGCCACAGCTGGAGGAGGAAGGCCCAATGGAGGAGGAGGCGGCGGCCCACCCAATGGCGGCGCCGAGAGCGAAACGCGGCCTAGCGAACGGGCCCAGCCCCGGGGAGCAGCCGGGCCCAGACTTGGAGAGCGAAGATGAGGAATTTGACGACTGGGAGGACGACTACGACTATCCCGAAGAGGAGCCGCTGAGGGGTGCGGGCTACAGAGTCTCCGCCGCCCTCGAGGAAGCCAACAAGATGTTCCTGAGAACATCCCGAGCCCGGGAAGCTGCCCTGGATGGCGGGTTTCAACTGCACTACGGGAAGACCCCCTTTGACCAGTTAGCTTTCATCGAAGAGCTCTTTTCCCTGATGGTTGTCAATCGTCTGACCGAAGAACTCGGTTGTGATGAAATTATTGATAGAGAGTAAATGCTGATGGAAGAGGAGGAAGCTACTCGAGGAGAGAGCCATCATTCCGCTATCTTTTGGGTTCATTCCAAACAGTTCTGTGCCAGTGAAAAAGTCGATCTTCAAACAAAAAAAAAGTTGTTTTTTGTTTTATTAGATTAGAAGACAATAGAACAGTGACTGCACAGTAGTGAAAAGAGAAAAGAATCATGAAAAAGAAGAGATCTTAGGACTGTTAAAATCTGTTTTCAAGAATGTCCTGGGATGGCTGTGACTTTTGTCATTGATGGAGATTCTTTTCCTTGCATTGGGGAAGATATCTTTTGTATATGTTCCACTGTAAAAGATGGTTTTGCGAGAGTAAATCATGACCAAGACAAACTGCCAGTTCAAGAGCCCACTGACGCTATGTAATGAGAAGAAGAACATCCACAAGATATCTTTGAGTTAATGTGGACTGAAAGTCTGTTGAGAAGACTTTCGAAATTCTACTTTGTAATCTACCCAAGTCATAGTTATCAAAGGCTAAGTTTGTGGTGTAAGATAAGTTGAATAGTCTTCATTGTCCTAAAAGGATGAGAAGAAAATTAAATACAGATAGGTGTATCACATGTGCTATTATTTTAAAATGTGTTTCCAAGAGCAACTGAAATATTGTTAGTATATTTATCTTGATCATTTATAAAGCTGTGATCTATAATCAGGAAAATCCATTGTCCTGACTGCTTTTAAAGGTCAAAAATTAAGACGTCTTTTTTAAAAGTTTCAAATTTAGACATTGAAGTGTATGTATGTGAAAATACAAAGAAGACAAACTATTTCTAATACCCTTATACTAGGGAATTTTTGCTTTGCTTGCTGTTTTCGTTTAACTTACGTGGAAAGACTAGTTGAATATCACATTGTCAGAACTGTTAGTGAAAATTCTCAAGTAAAAGGAAAGCTGTATATCTAAAAGATTTTATTATCCTATCAAACTGTGAAGGTTTTAAACCTGCTCAGAAATCCACCTCAGTATCTGAAGTTTCCCTCTCTCTCCTCCTCTAATTAAGCTTGCTATTCCTAATGCACCAGCACTGGAGAAAATAAAATTTCTTGTTCTGTGTATTTTCTTTGACTAATAGTATTGCATACATACTTTGTGCATGCTGCTTTTTTATTGATGTAAACAATTTTATTTACTGATTTAAATAACCCATGTTTATAAGGGAAAATGATCCAATTTCAAACACCTGATTTACAAATTAAGTATGTAGCCTATAAGAATTTGCCAACATAGAAAAAGCTGCCCTATCAATGAGCATGTTGCTGTGGTTATTTTAGTAAGATACTGAAGTTCCATGAGAGTTACTGGAAGTCTATGCCAAACAAAATAAGGATATCAGCAGGTCTTGTCATGATCAATTAAAAGGTTCCAGATGCTCTTGTTCCTTGATGGCAGTAAAGGACAGAGCCTGTATAGTAAGACAACTCAGAGCTGTTTTTTTTTTTATAGACATCTTGTCTGTTAGAGGGTATCGGGGGAGTCCTACAAAATACAGGACTGTGACAAGGATAAAATCACTCAGACACCAGCTTCCTTGGGAAGGAGAGATGAGGAAAGACTGGATAGGAAATAAAATGTTGGTTCTTAATCCTACTGTCTCTTACATGAGAAAGCAATAGGTGCATGAGAAAGCACCTATTGCTTTCTCATGTAGCTTATTGCTGCAGGCAGATGAGTATATGAGTAGACAGTTAATGTGTGCAGTGTAAGTTAACAGTACTTGTGAGGGAAGGGGGATGCCAAACTGGCCACTTGGATTTACCACCAATTTAAGATGGGCTCAGAAAAAAAAATAGTTTTACAAACTGCAAAGTGATTCTGTTTCTGTCTGGGACAGAGTAGGGAACAAGAGGAGGAGGGAAAAACCCCTCCCTGCTGCATTTGAAAGTTCATCTTGCAGAAAAGACCTGGAATCTGCAACTGACTGATGGTTGGCTTGTTGGCCTTAAAAACAGTAAACTGAGACCACTGAAATTAATACTTGTTCCTATTTACTAAAGACGGAAAATGTTACCATTTTCTAACTTTAATATTAAAAGTTATCAAAGAGTAGAACCAGTATACCTGATTCAAATTTGATTTCTTGTAATTAACTCAGACACTTAATTTCTCTGGCTTGTGTCCCAAACTGAAAATAACTGGATTTACTTCACATATTGTGACAATTAAGTGCAACACTAACATCTCAATCCAGAGATAGCTAAAAACTCAGGTTTTCACCTTTTTTTTTTTTTTTTTTGTAAAAGTGAACTGTCTGGCAGTTATTAACTAGTCCTATATGACAAAATGCATTTGATTTACCTTCAGACAGGCAAGGTATTTGGTTTGCCACATTTCCCTGTGTTGTCTCCTCAGTGTAGTGGCAAGAAGCACTTTCATTTACCATTGTGCTTACAACACTGTTTTCTCTTGTACCTGGACAGTTTGTTTGCCTGCTTGGCCTCTAGATAATTTTTTTTTATTTATTTTTTTATTATTCATATGTGCATACAATGCTTGGGTCATTTCTCCCCAATGCCCCCACCCCCTCCCTTACCACCCACCCTGCCCCCTTCTTCTCCCTCCCACCCCCTCGATACCCGGCAGAAACTATTTTGCCCTTATCTCTAATTTTGTTGTAGAGAGAGTGTAAGCAATAATAGGAAGGAGCAAGGGTTTTTGCTAGTTGAGATAAGGACAGCTATACAGGGAGTTGACTCACATTTCCTGTGCATGTGTGTTACCATCTAGGTTAATTCTTTTTGATCTCACCTTTTCTCTAGTTCCTGGTCCCCTTTTCCTATTGGCCTCAGTTGCTTTTAAGGTATCTGCTTTAGTTTCTCTGCGTTAAGGGCAACAAATGCTAACTAATTTTTTAGGTGTCTTACCTATCCTCATATCTCCCTTGTGTGCTCTCGCTTTTATCTTGTGATCAAAGTCCAATCCCAATGTTGTGTTTGCCCTTGATCTAATGTCCACATATGAGGGAGAACATACGATTTTTGGTCTTTTGGGCCAGGCTAACCTCACTCAGATGATGTTCTCCAATTCCATCCATTTACTAGCGAATGATAACATTTCATTCTTGTTCATGGCTGCATAGAATTCCATTGTGTATAGATACCACATTTTCTTAATCCATTCGTCAGTGGTGGGGCATCTTGGCTGTTTCCATAACTTGGCTATTGTGAATAGTGCCGCAATAAGCATGGGTGTGCAGGTGCCTCTGGAGTAACCTGTGTCACAGTCTTTTGGGTATATCCCCAAGAGTTGGCCTCTAGATAATTATGTTATCTCTCCTCCTACAGATAAGCTGATGCATCCATTTTCTAACTATTTTACACATATTTTTCTTGCCCTTCTCAATTTAGTATCTGTGAGTTTGTGAGTTATGACACTGAGCACCCTTGCTTACACTTGTAATCCTAGCTACTTGGGAGGCTGAGATCAGGAGAATCAAGATTCCAGGCCATCCCAGGCAGGGAGTTCGAGAGACTGCATCAGGAGGATGCAGTTCCGGGTCAGACTGGGCAAAAAATGTTTGGGAGCCTCCCTCTCAATATGAAAAATGTGTGTCATCTCAGTGACAGCAGGAAGCTTAAAATAGGATCTCAGTCCAGGCGTGGCTGGGGGCAGGTGAAGGGAGACGGTTTGGTGGCGGGGGGAAGACTGTATCTCCAAAATAACCAGAGCAAAAAAGGGCTGGAGGCTTGGGTCAAGTGGTAGAGCACTGCCTAGCAAGTGTGAAGTCCTGAGCTCAAACCCAGTACTGCCAAAAAAGAAAAAAAAAAAGACTAGAGGAGGGAGCTACTTAGACTGACATCTTTGTTTAAGGTCCTAAAACAGTCTCCCTTAATCCATAACCTTACTTTCCTCAGTTTTATTTACTTGTCAACTATAGTCTGAAAATATTACATGGAAAACTCTAGAAATAAACAAGTTTTGTGGCGCACAGTTCTGATTAACATGATGAAATCCCATGTCATCCTGCTCCATCCTAGTCAGAATGTGAATCATCCTTTACCCAACATATTCACACTATATTCTTCCTGCCCCATAGTCATTTAGCAGCCCTCTCAGGTATCAGATTGACTATCCTAGTATCTCTGTGCAAGCAATCCTTACTTTACTTGATATTGGCCACAAAGACAAGTCTAGTGATGCTGACAATTCGGATATGCCAAAGTAGCAATATAGTGCTTTCTTTTCTTAAGTGAAAAGGTAGAAGTTCCTGACTTAAGGAAAGAAAAAAAAATTATGCTCAGGTGGTTAAGATCTACAGTAAGAGCAAAACACGGCATGTATATGCTTTGGTACTATCTAGGGGACTTGCAACATACTCCCCATGAATGATGAATACTAGACTAAAGTATGTCAAGAAGGCCTGATACTTAAAACTTAAAGAATATACAGGAATTCCTATAACTTGCCTTTCCAAAATGGTAATTTCTTAAACATTTTATATTTAATATAATTTTATTTTCTGCTTCTGAGAGTCTGTGAAACATCTTCTCCATGAATAAGTCTTCTCCATGGTCTTAGTGGCTGAAGATACACATGAACCAATGAACAATAGCTGCTATCATCTATGACTAGGTCCACAAAAGATTTAACCTATTTGTGATTTGGGTCCAAAATACATCGTAGAAGTTAAGGGGGTGGAAAAGGCAATTTTTTTTTTGTATCAATCTTAGAACTTCCTGGGATAACTTTCAATAAGGATTTAATTAGTAAAGCCTTTTTCATGCAATATCCATAAGGGCTCGTTCTCTCTCTGCTGCCTCGTCCCAAAAACACTTTAGGTGTCCTTATCAGGATTATAAACCTCCTAGAATTGAAGAATCCACAGTGGCACTTCTCCTTACACAAACATACTGTTTCAGTCATTCCTCCATGCCAAAAAGAATAGCCCAAAATCTGCCCCTCGGGGGGAGAGGGAGGGGGCAGAGTGGGTGGTAAGGGAGGGGGTGGGGGCAGGGGGGAGAAATGAACCAAGCCTTGTATGCACATATGAATAATAAAAGAAAAATGAAAAAAAAAAAAGAAAAGAGAATGTTCAAAGTTAAAAAAAAAAAAAACCAAAATCTGCCCCTCAGTCTGAGATCAGAGAGATTCTAACTTTGGTCCCTACTCCAGCATTGGGCTGAGCCCATCCCCATTCCATGCCACCAGCACAGAAAAGATGGGAGTTGCTCTCAAAGGCACATCATTACTATAGTTGTTAGCAGTTGGAGTTAAGCATGATCCCTGTCCCTACCTCTGTTGTGAATGAAAGATTATTAGCATGTAGTCATATCATCTCTAACCACTGTGGCATGAAGGAGAGTAGTGAAGGAAAAAGGGGGATTAGAATAAACTGTATCCCATATGCACCACAACCCTATTCTTCTCAAATTCCCCTATTCGCTTAAGACACACCATAGGAAGGCCATTTTAAAAATGTGCAGAAAAGATTCTGCACATAAGATTATCATCATGACATCTCCAGCTTTACCTACTCTTCTTCCCTTTCAAAACACTTTAATTCAAGGTCTCCAATATTCAGGACATCACATGACTAAAAAGCATTGAGCCTCTATGGTACCATACACATGGGTAAAAACTAAAACTATTTTATGAACCTCTTGCAATTGCTTTAAGTGGGGTGGGGAGGGGGCTGATGGGAGAGAGACAATGGAGGAAATGTAGATAATGTACAATATAAGTCTAATCAGAATTGTCACTATAATCCCACCCCCCACATAATGAATATATCCTAATAAAAATTTTACTTAAAAAATGCAACTAAAACTAACTTTTACATCTACAGATGTCTTGAGGTCAAAGCATGTGAAGGACTGAATAAATGTTTCGCCTTCCACCCAGGTGTGCTGCATCTTCTAATGCCAAAAATGCTATGCTGTCATTATGTCAATGATACCACCTCTCTTGAGTAATCAATGAAGACCCAAGCAGACAGGAATTTGTTTTGCATTATTTCATATCAAGCATTTTCCTCTAAGGTATTCTAAACTACTGCATAAGCAATCTAATTTATTGTGGGTTTGAATTTAGAAAATAAGCCAGCCCTCAAAACCTGTACTTATATGTTACTGACAATTTTATAATTCTATATATTATATTATGCTTTTCCTGTTAAGTACTGGGTACATACATGAAAAACTCTGAGAAAAACTGTTTGAGTAAATAATAGTATTAGGTACCATGTAACTGGCATTGTGCTAAGTGATTTACATCCATTATCAATTTTAACCCCCTAAATAAATCCACCCTTTCAGAAACTCTATGATCCTCAGCTTTCTGAGAAAAACTGAAGCTCAGAGAGGTAGGGTAACTTGCTCGTAAGTGACAAGGCCATCATTTCACCCACTATATGACTTCAATGTCTCTTAGTGTTTTGTCATTACCAGGGCACATTATGCCCTCCATTATGAGTCCATACTGTAAAACCCTAAATATTAAGAACCTCAAACCACTACATATTAGACACAGAGAAAAATCAGACTCTATCACATAAATAACATGATATATAAGAAATTTAGCTAAAGATTAAAGAGCAAGTCTAAAAGAATGTTGTAGTTTAGATACAGATTTCGCCCAACATCTGTATAGCTTTTACATTTACTTCAGCAATGCTGTTCTATAATAAATGAGATTCACAATAAAAATTCAGGTATATCATATATCATAAATCATGAAAGGAGAAAATTGTTTATACAATAACTTTTAGAAAGCTTTTCAACTCAATAGTTGGAAGAAAATATTTTTCTGCTTAAATTTCAGTTAGCTACAACATTAACCCTAACATCACCTTCCCTCTTTGTTTTTCATCTACACTCAAGTCCAATAACCAACTCAGGAACATTAGTTACCAAATGGTATTTACTGTATTTTTTGAACCTTAGTTCTTCATACAAAACCAGTCAGGTAGAAGCACGTATTTGTAGACAGTTAAATGTCCCAATGGTGAGTTAGTAACACTGTTACTCTAATTACTATTATGCGTACGTCCTGGGCATATTTTTTTTCCTTTGTGGCTTATGAAATTGCAGGCATACTCTGTTTGATACCATATACTCTTTACTATCCCCAATCTTCCAGAAAAATGGGTATGGTAAACTATAAATGACATTCACTGTCTTACCTGTTGGTTGTCCAGATTCATCAGTGTGAGACTGCATGTGGAAATGGTCAGTCGTATATTCATTCCAGAAAACTGAAGGTTACTTTTGCCAAGAACAGTTGATAGGAACTTAACTGGAGCCTTTAACAATGACAAACAACACTGTAAGTTACAGATTTTGTTACAGGCTTAAACGTTATGGTCATGTTTTTAAATGTGAAAAATGGGTCAAAACTCATATTCCTCCTAGATAGTTAACATAAATCAAATGAGATGAAATTGGTTTTGTTAAGAACATTTTTTTTTATAAATTGGAACTCAGGAAATTCTTTAGCAAGTGAAATTTGGAGTCTCAGAACTTTTCTCATGCTTTCCTTCTCCCCGAAATGTTGGAGTAGAGGCCTCCTTTACACAAACAAATTCCTATGAGAGATTAGACCAACTGAACTCATAAGTCCTTTTCAATGAAAATCTTAAAAAAGGAAAAATTAATAAGCCAGTGGGGGTTCAGGCTGTAGCTTAGTTGTTAAGTGCTTGCCTAGCATGCACAAAGCCCTGGCACCACTGGAAAAAAAAAAAAAAAAGGAAGGGACAGGAGAGGAAAAGGAGTGAGAGGGGATGTAAGGGGAGAGAACGGAAATGGGAGGGGAGGAGAAAGGTGGAGAGAGAAAAGAAGGGAAGGGAAGGGAAGGAAGATGAAAAGTAGCTGCTCCCTTTATTGACACCATCTCTCTTTCTCCTGCCTCCTCGCAATGCTAAAGTTAAAAGCTCTCTCTACCAGCCTAATCTTCACATTCAGACAACCATAATGCCTGAAATTTGACTTCTGGCAGCTCTTTCAGGTACATCATTATTTCCAGAAGTTCCTTGTGAAAATGAACAAATATGTCTAGGAAGAGATTAGCTCATTCCACATTAACTCATTAATAAAGATGGTTTGCCAGAATTTACTACGAGAAACTAAGTTGAAAAAGTTGACCAGGCATTTCTTAGGGAAGAGTAAGGGGCACTCAGGAATTACAAAGGCCCTGGAGTCGTAAGTGGGGAAAGAGATCCCAAACACAGGGTGAGAGGCAGGTTTGGCCAGTTCTCTCAAGCAGAAGTATCACTTGCCAGCTGCACGACCTTGACAAATAATCTTTCTAAGCCTCAATTTCCTTTTGTATAAAAAGTGGAAAAGGAAAACAGTAGCTACCTGGTAAGGGCTGTTGTGAAGATTACATCAGATAATAAGTGGAAAACATCTGACATAGTGCTTGGCTGGATTCATGAGAGCCTTTATTGTTGTTATCATCAGCATCATCCTTTTCGTCCTTTCCAATGCTAAGATTCTAAGAATTAGTTTGAGATATTTCAAAACTGTGAGGGATGCTTGGATTAAGTCTTGAATCCTCTGCTGGAAAGTGGACCAGCTGAGGATAGAAAATCAGTGATTCCCCAATATATGGGTCAATATATGAGACAATTAATGAAAATGTAATTTATCTTTTTTGGTTTTACTTATATGTAACTCTTATTTGATTCCTTATGGCACCACACCAAACAAATATACATTGTTGAAATTCAATGGATAGCTATTTTTTAAAACTCTAAGCATATCCTAAAAATGTAGTACGAATGTAACAAATTGTCCCAAATGTAGATATCACTCTATAATAAAGTTGGCTCTTGGTCTTTCTTTGATCTTCATATGGTCCTTGGCAAAATAAGCCACACAATTCAGGGATTTTGTATCTCCCAAAGTTGTATTTAATAGCAAATAGCTCATTTGCTTCCCTAGAGCTTCTTTTCCATGGTAGTTTTAAAAAATATATTAAATAGCTATTATATATGACTACTCACACTTGAAAATTCAGTTATTTGTTACATAATCATCTTTTAAAAAAATTTTCATTGTCTTGCTGGGTGATGGTACATTGTGGCATTTACAAAAATTCATAATATATTGTATTTGAATCTACCCCCTCCACCATTCTCCTTTATCACTCCTTCCCCCTTTCCTGGAACAGTTTCAACAGGTATCACTTTTCCATTTGTACATAGTATTTACACTATATTCACCCTCCCACACCCTTTTCCCACCTCCTCCCCCCCTCCCACTGGTACCCCCCCCCCAGGACCTGTTCCACCCTTCTGTTCTCTGATTTTACATAATCATCTTAATTTTGCCCTCATAATAAACTTAACCTCCTGAGAAATATATAAAATATAACAAATGCTTTTATTTCATTATGAGAAAATAAGTTGACATTTAAGTAACCTATGGAAGAAAAAGCAAGCACATGGCTTTCAGGCAAACCCAGCAGAGCAGAAAACATGCAGGACTGGCAGTGACACAGGTTGGAGTCAACCAGCCAAGGGACTTCAGGAAACTGTTAACCAGCCAAGGGACTTCAGGTATGCTACTAAGTAGCTGAGGGACCTTAGGAAATCCCCCTGAACTCCTCTCACCATCTTTGTTTACAAAATAGGAAGAATAGCATTACTTCCATCCTTCTACCTCTAGCCATGGGAGACCTTGAAAGAATCAAATTCAGTTATAAAGTATATGGAAATGCACAGTGCACAGTGAAGTGCTAACAAACTCTGTGATTATAGTTGCTATGTTTTAAATAAATTCTGACAATTTCACTACAGGATTTCTTTTATAGAAACTGATGAGAGAAATTGTAAAGGGAAAAGAAAGGAGAGACAGGATAAGATAGTTCCAAACTTTCACTAAAAGAGGTCAGCCATAAGGGATGATTATCCATCTATGCTTTACAAATGAGAAAACTAAGACAGGGAGATGTTAGTTGGCATTAACTTATTTATCAGTACAGACATAGCTTCCTGGCTCTTCTAACTCCCAATCACATAGCCTCTCGGGAACATCCAGTTCTTCTGGTTATTCGTTAGCTTTTACACTTCAAAACTCAAAAGCTATCACATAAGTAGGTGGATGCTAAGCCTTCCAAAGTGCCTATGATGAAATAGCCCACAAATCTAATGGAATCAAAGAGAGATCCCAACTGTACTCAATTGGTCCTTTAGTAGTTTCTGGTTCCCTGATCCAGGGAGAGATGGTAGGCTAGAGAGGCAGAAAGCATCACAGTTGAGAGTGTGGATTCTGGAGTCAGATTTCTTGGACTCAACCCAGCACATCTCTGAAGACTTACTGGATCATTTGACAAGCTACTTAACCCCAGTGGGCCCCAGGTTCCTCATCTGTAAAATGGGGAATACTAGGACCTATGCAGGACATTTATTTATTTATTGAGATAAGGTCTTGCTATATTGTCCATGCTGACCTCAAACTCACTATCCTCCTGAGTGCTGGGATTATAGATAAAGCACCATCACATCTGGATCTGTGTAGTTTTCTTGTGATGATTAACAAAGCATTAAAAACACAGCACATCAAAACTTACAACACATAGCAAAAAAGCAATACTAAGAGGGAAATTATAGCTATAAACCCTTACATTAAGAAAGAAAAAGGATTTAAAATAAAAAAACTTAACTTTATAATTTAAGAAACGTGGAAAGAAGGCTGGGCATGGTAGCTCAATTCTATAATCACAGCTACTTGGGCATTACAGATCGAGAAGATCGTGGTTTGAGACCAGTCTAGGCAAAAAGTTTGTGACATTCCATCTCAACCAATGGCTAGGCATGATAGCATAAGCCTGTCATCCTAGCTACACAGGGAGTCACAAAGTGGATGGTTGTGGTCTAGGCCAGTCTAGGCATAAGCTAAGACCTATCTCAAAAATAACCAACACAAAAAGGGTTGGTGAATGGCTTAAGTGTTAGCGTACCTGTCTAGCAAGTGCAAGGCCAAGTTCAACTCCCAATGCTACAGAAGAAAAAAAAACTTGAGAAAGAGCAAACTAAACCCAAAGGTAGCAAAGTAGCAGAAGGAAGGAAATAGTAAATATTAAAGCAAATACAGAATGATGGAGGATAGAAAAACAGTACCATTTTTAAATGGTTAAGGTGAGACCGGGGATAGAGCTCAGTTATAGAGAGAACTTGTAAGGATGCACTGGCCCTGGGTTCAGTCCCCAGTACCACACATGCAAACACAAAAAGGTTGAGATAGTAAATTTTATTATGTGTATTTTACTGCAGTAAAAACACTCGGAAAAGAAGAGTCTAAAAAATTTAAAGTGCTGGGAAGTGTTGCTGATATATACTAAGTACTTACTAAATGCTAAATTATCAAAGGAAATTATCTCAAAATTTTCTGCTTTTCTTTGCAAGCTTATTTTCTGAAAAGAATGGTGGCCAGGTTTGTTCTGTTTTGTTTTCAGGTGGAGAATCCCTACTCCTACAGTAAGAAATGTCTTTAATGAATGAGCCTATTTGTTGGCATGATGCAGTTGAAACATCCTATTCTAGAGATGTCGAGAAGAAGGAGGACTCTAGACACTGTTTTGGAGTCCTGGGTTCTGTCAAGTAGACCAACAATGGAGAATTTGTAATAGGCCATTTGGCAGTTTCCTGTGTCACCCTAGTACAATGAATGACATTGGGTTCAGCCCCATGTAAAATGATGAAGAGTGACAATGAAAAATGGGGCCAGGTGATAGAAAACTAGACAACAAAGCTAGGAATCAGGGGACTGGGCTTCTTCTGCGACTGACCTCAATCATACTAGTGGTCATCTCTTCTCTCTGACCCACTTTTGTAGCTGGCAAAAGAAAAGTGTTAAACCAAGAGATCTCCAGAGATTTCTTTCCCTTAAACAGTCTACAATTCTGGCATTTATATGCTCTCATTTTTGTTGGTACTGGGATTTGAACTCAGGGTCTCACAGTTGCTAGGCATGTCTTTCTTCAGCCCTTTTTGCTTGAGTTACTTTTCAGATAGCATTTGTAAGAATTAAGTGAAATACTTTCTCCAACGTAGTTAACAGTATCTGACACATATTAGATTATTTTCTGTGCTTTTTGCCTAGGCCAGCCTTGGGCCATGATCCTCCCACCTACACTTCCCAAGTAGCTGAGGTCAGAGATCTTAACACTGCTATTACTATGTCCAGCTTGTTTTTGGGGTAAGGTCTTGCTAACATTTTTTGCCTGGGCTGGCCTTGAACTTTGATCCTCCGGCCTCTGCCTCCCAAATGCAGAGCCCATCATTCCAGGTTTATCTACTTATCTTAAGAGCCTTTGAATTTACCACTGAACTTTTCAAAGCAATGAAATATTTAAGGGTTTATAGTTTAACAGCAGTAATACTCAGTGCCATCAACACAGAAAATAGTCTAATATATTCCAGACATAGTGAGATACTTTATAACCATTATTTTTACTTTATTCTTCCAGAACCCTATAATTAAGTGCTATTTTTCTCCTGTTTTACCAATGAGGAAACCAAGGATCCAATAGACTAGGTGATTTGTCCAAGATCACACAGTTAGTGGATGGTAGACGCAGAATTTCAATCCAAGTCTGACTAATGTCAAAGTTTGCTTTCTTTCCCCAGGCAAATCTCTCCCTACCCATGGATGGACACTTCCACCATGTTTACATGTGAAAATAGAACAGGAAGTCTTAAAGTCTAAAACAGGAGAATGCAGGATACATACCTTTATAAAATATTGACATTCCAAGGCACTTACTAGTGACCTGGTTGAACTAACTTCATAGGAACAAGAACAGTGACTGGGGAGATGACACCCAAGTGCTTTCTCCCCTCTGCCACTCAAGGCTTCACCACTTCAGACAGGGCTGGGTGAGTCAGAAAAGCCTGAGGGCTGAGAGTGACTTTGGGCACAACTCTGATATCATACCACACATGGTGAAATACACTAACAACTATTTTGTTACTATCTTTGCAATAGTTAGAGAAACATAAAATAAGAAAACCACACAAATATTCGTTTACCTTTCTCTTTTTAATGGCTCCATTTGCCCCGGGGACAGCTTCACAAAGACGACTTATTGCTTCCCTAGGGAACAAAAATCATAGAGATACTTAGCATTCTACCTACAGATCGTAAGTGTTCAAGAAATGTTAGAAGCTATTGGTGCTTTGCAGGAGGCAAGGGAGGCCTATCTGGCTGGCCTTTTTTGAAGATGCCAACCTGTGTGTTATTCATGCAAATGTGTAACAATTATGTCAAAAGACATCCAGCTAGCATGCTGCAGACATGGACAGCATGCTAAGAAATGGGAAACATTTCATTCCTGTTATCAGTAGTTCTGAAAGATAGATCTCTTTTTCCATGGAGTCAAAAGGTACTAAGCATGTGACTGTGAGTGGGAAAAACAGGACAGAAATCAGGTATGGGCAGTTTTTCCATTTTCATTTATGTGTGGATTTTTAATATAAATGTGGGGATATAAAGCATTACGTTTCAGTGAACAAGTTTTAGCAGTTCAACTGCATAACAATTATAAAGAAACCTGTTAAGTTTTCCTGGAAAAAAAAAAAAGAAATGAAGAAATGTTAGAAGCTGGGTGCTGGTGGCTCACACTTGTGATGCCAGCTACTCAGGAGGCAGACACAAGGTAGATCGCAGTTCGAAGCCAGCCTGAGCAAAGTGTGTGTGTGTGTGTGTGTGTGTGTGTGTGTGTGTGTGTGTGAAGGTAGGGTTGGTGGAGTGGCTGAAGGTGTAGGCCCTGAGTGCAAATCCTGTACCACAAAACAACAAATAAATAAATAAATAAATAAAAAGAAATGATCAAGACCAAGCTGCACACATGGTGGTGAGGGTGACATAAGCGTTTCCCACAGGAGAAAGCATCATTCTTTGTCTTTCTGCTGTTCAAAGAAGACCTAGCAACACTCTAAGACTGAAAAGTTGCTTTACAACAACTATTCACTTTACTCATTTGTTTTCTCCCTTAGATTTTCAGATTTGGAGTGTATGTGTGTATTTGTTCTTTTTTAACCAAAAAGGAGAGAGCATATCTTATTTTTCTGAGAATAAATCATAATTTTACCTTTAGCAAATCCTCACTGTAGTGTTGTGAATAAAAAAAAAAACTTCGTAGTACCTCAGCACCAAAACAATGAACTACAAATAAGTATGACCATAGAGGAAGTCTAAAAGGATGGGAGAGCATTGAACTTCAAGGTGGTCTCAAATGGAGCCTTATCGACTGAGTTCCTGCTACAAGCCACTGAGCTCTCATGTAATTTCACAGAAGAAGAGAAAATCAATATCAAATTTCCTCCTTTGCCTATTTTTCTGCCCTAACTTTATATTGCACTTCCTGAGAGAAAATAAGCAGTTACTCCTTAATGGATGTGGTGGAGCAGGTGCTCTGGTCTAAGCAATGCAGACATAACTAAAAGCTTTTGTCTCTGGGCCTCTGAGCAACCATAACCCACCAAGCTTTCACTCTGCGTAATCTGAACCTTAAATTTGTGGTTGTATTCTCATATATTAAACTTTTCACAAGGCAAATGGAAACCTTTCTGTTCCTTCCTGGGTCCCCAGAGAACATTGTTTAAATTACTAAACTATATACACATACCTAAGATGTATTACAATTTTTTAAAATATATTGTATCTTATGATTAATCTTTTCCTATAAAATATTTTGATTCGAAGAAAAGTGGGGGAAGCCATTCAGAAAGGAATGCACACCCACTACTTAAAAGCCTCCTTTAGGGTAGGTTGTAGTGTAGAGCAATGTTCTTCCAGAAGAAGAACAGAAAAGTAAGAATTCCCAAAGACTCCAGGCATCATTTCAGACTTACATGTTTTCATTTAGGGTCTCTTTTTCCTCTGGATAAATGAAACTCTTTACCAAAGTATTATCTTATCTGATTTTTGCACAATTACCTGAAACCACAGAATAGAATGGCTCTCTGGTTTAGCATATTTTCTCAAGAGTTCATATGTGTTGTTTCTCTAGCAATCCAACCTTTGTTCTCTAGAGTCAACTATAAGGGTGACAGAGAGTTGTTCTTTCTTGTCTGGTTGGTTGATTTGATATTTTAGTCATCTTACTGATTACACAATAATTGACAGGACCTGTATAATTGATCCATTTTGACCTCTGGCACTACCAAAATAATAAGTCCAGGCACTCACTGCACTGATAATATTTAATAAAGAATAGTATAGGTTTAAAAAAAAGGAGGGGGGGCAAATCTTTTACTCAGGGAGATCCAATCAGGGTGCTCTGTAAATAGCTTTAAATAAAAGTAGAAACAAAGGCAGACATTGATGCTGCCAAGTATAATAATAATTGTTATAATTATTATTATTGGAAGTCACTTTTATACAGCACCTTGTAGTTTTACAGTGTTTTCCCAGGCACCGCTGTGGTTCTCAGACACCAACTGTCGCTATCTTCTAACAAAAGTAGCATTGTGGAAAAAGGGTGTAGAATTAGCACTTCTCAAGCACAGCATGGGAGGATGAGTGTTCCTAGCACGGCAGGGATTGAAATCCCAGACAGAAAGAAGCGCACCAGTGAAGAACAAAAATGTAACACGTAACACGAGGGACTGAAGCACGCTGACGTCACTGGAGCGCAATGTGTAGCATGGCAAGGGTGAATGAGAGATACGAGGCGAGAGCTGAGTCCCGGCACTTTCTCTGTGAAGGGTCGAGATGGCGCATATTTTAGTCTTTCCCCTATTGCAACTTCTCAGTAGTGCAAAACGCAGCCTTAGACAATAAATAAACAAATGAGCATGGCTGCATATCAATAAGCTATTGTTTCTAGAAACAAGACACTGGCCAAGGTTTGTCAACTCTTGGTTTAGATAATTCACACAAAAGGAGAAAGTTTAGTCTTAAAAAACAGACAGGCTTGATGGTAAATGCCTGTAATCCCAGCACTCTGGCTATGCAGGAATCTGCCTCCAAAAAAGAAAGAAAAGAAAATGTTTATATTCATTACTATTTTAAAATAAAAATTTTAAATGCCTACAAGAAACTTTACTCGCATTAAGTTAGAAAAAAAGGCAAATATGGAGTGGTTCATGCCCTGTAGTCCCAGTTGTTTGTGAGGTAGACATTAGGATGGTAACAGATAAAAGCCACCACACGCAAAAAGTTAGCAAGATCCCATCTCAACCAAGAAGCTGGGTGTGGAGACACATGGTTGTAATTCCATCTACACAAGAGACAGAGGTAAGAGGATCACAGTTCAAGGCTAGCCCCTAGTTGAAAAAATAACTAAAGCAAAGACAGTTAGGGGCATGTTTCAACTCCTTCACTCTTACCTAGCAAGTGCAAGGCCCTGAGTTCAAAACCTCAGTGTCATCAAAACACAAAAAGGAAGAAAGAAAAGGGAAAAAGACAAATACCAAATCCACCACTGGGAATGATGGGAAAAATTCTTCTTCAGACAGACTTATCCATTGCTAAGGGCATAGATTAATATTCAGGTAATCTTTCTAAAAGAGCACTTTGTTAAAATATAACAAAGAAATCCTAAAATTTATCAAAATGATGGGGAGAACTTGATTGAAATAGCATCAAGTGTGGGATAAAAGAAACATTTAGGATGGAGATGTGGCTCTATGGCAGGAAGGCAGGGAGGGGGAAGGGAGAGAATGAGTACCACAGTGAAACAGAAAAACTGGAGTTGGGGAATGTTACCTGGGGTGAGACCAGAGAAGGGTCAACTAACCCCAGAGGTTAAAGCGGTCAATGAAATAGCAAGTGACTATGTATGGAACAAGCTGGACCTCCCCTCATTTCTGTGACCTGCTCTAATTGGTATATAAGGAAGGCTCCCTTTGTTCTTGGGGTTCAGCTTTAAACTCAAGTCCACTGAGTCACTGCTGGCTTGCTTAATACACTTGCTTCCCGAAACCTTTGGTGCCTTCTCTGTCTCTATGTGAGCCCTTCTGCAACATTTCTGGGGCACTCATCTGGGATTTGGAGGGCAATGTTTTCACCTCCCTATTGCCAGCTCAGCATCCCTGGCCTGCCAGGAGGGCCACCCATATTGATCTGAGGAGAGGGAGCCTTTCTCCTGGTGAGCCAAGGAGGCAAGTTCCAGTTGCACAAAGGAACCCAAAAAGGCTCTGGAACCAACTTGGGAGCCCCACTCATCAGACTGGTGAGAACCTGGGTTTGAATTCAGGCCTGCCTCAGGAGGCAGAAGGGGAGACTGACCAACTTCCAAAGATACCCTAGTAACTGCCTTTTTGGGGGTGAAACAGTGTCTTTCAGGTTCAGGGAATGGGGTGGAAGTACTGTTCTGTGTGAGAGTGTGTGAAAGTGTGAGCCTGAGACATAGCCTGGTTATAAAGTGAGTGCAGAGTCCTGATCTGCAGTCCATGATGAACTCATATGGTCTAGGGTGAGCCCTAACAGGGGCTTTGGTCCAGGGCTTATATGGACTAACTATGGCGAACAGATGCCTAAATCACCACAAGGGGAGTGGCCAGAGATGGACAAAGTGAGTCGTGTTCCTTGTTTTCCCCTGTGTGCCAGAGAGGAGGACCCCTTACCTCCTCTCCAAAGCCCTCTTCCCTTCTGTCTTTGCCTCTGTCTTGACGTCTGGCAAATGGGAGGAATGGGAGGAGGTCAGAGTAAGAACACCGCCCTTAGAGGGCATGCTTAAGAACTTTAAGAGGGGATTTAATGGAGATTTTGGGGTCAAGCTGACTCCTGGCAAGCTTAGGACTTTCTGTGAAATAGACTGGCCTGCTTTTGGTGTAGAATAGCTCTCAGAGGGGTCACTAGATAAGGTCATAGTCAATAGAGTTTTTGAAGAGGTGTTCAGGGAACCCAGACATCCAGATCAATTTCCTTATATTGATTGCTGGCAGGATGCAGTCCTCGGTTGGCCCACGTGGCTAAAGCTCCACCTTGAGGAAGCATGTAGGGTCATGGTAGCCAGGTGGCCGCAGCTTCCACATGCGAGGAAAAATGTAAAAAGCTGGAGAAACCCATATTAGCATGGGACCCTGCCCCCTTATGTGCCACCATACCCACCTTTGTCACCACCATCTGCCTCTCCATCCCCACCC